GAAGGAAGGAAGGAAGGAAGGAAGGAAGGAAGGAAGGAAGGAAGGAAGGAGAAATGCAAACTTCTGAGATCTGATCTTAAACCTTTAGGAAATGATTGCGAGTTAAAAAAGATAACATCTATTTACATCTATTTTAAGCAGTCCTGTAGTGATCATGAAAAAGCATGCCTACTGATCTTATAAATAAGATGTTTATATTTCTCCTTGGTGTTCCCAGTGTCGAGGTTAAATGCTTTGATGACAGGCACATGACTCCCTCTGGACTGCACAAGCACACGCCTCATCCTCCAGCACACAAGTCTGGATTTAGAGGTCAGATAGGTGTCAGCAGATTGACTGAGTCCCTGCACTCTTCTCAAGGAGAAATCCACTCCTGTGTAAAATTACTGATTAATCACTGTTTTCCATTAACAGCTGCAGTTTAAGTATTTTCTACTTTAATATAACACATTCAACATGCAAAGACCCACTATCCTGCAAGAATAAGTTTGTAATCAATGGATCCCTCTTCCTTTAAAGAGCAGATAAATATACATAGTTATTATTAAATATGCATTATGGGTTATATCCAACATACTAGAAATCCTTTTAATGGGTAGCTGGTCTGCTGCAGTGAGATTGTGTCTGTTTCACATCTAATGGAGTCTCGACTGGGTTTTCTTGCAGGAGTGCCCTGTTTCTAGCTCTTCCTCCAACATGATGTTGCCACATGGGTTTGGTATTGTGTTCAGACAGATGTGCAGTGATGGGATTTTTCCACACTTTTTGTATGCAGGCCAAAACATCTGGTCTCATCTAACCAGATAACTTTTTTCCATAGGGTTACTTTTTCTCTGCTTTGCTAGTTGTGCTGTCAACACCTGAGCAGTGAGTCTCTCCAGCTCCTCCAGAGCTATCCTTCTCCTTCCACCTTACTTTCAAACACTACTTTTTTTTTTCACTCACATAAAGCCTAGGCAAATACCCTTTCATTTTGGGGTTGACCTGTAAAAACGGGTATGAATACTTTAGTGAGGCGCTTGAAATCATTAAGGCATAAAATGAACTATTTGGCTCCTTAGAGGAGGTGTGAATTAAAACTAAATGCCACCTGATCTGCGACATCCTTCACAGACCTGTGAGTGTGAGCGGCAGGTGTGAAGAGCAGCCAGCGGAGTATCATGTAACCTTTTGACAAGTTGCTCAACAACAACAGGCGCTCCTTGTTATTATTGGGTCAACAGAGCCGGAGGAGGTCTCTGGGATTATAGCGGAGAGGAGAACATGGAGTGACGGTTGTACGGTTGTTCGCTGCCCAACCCCTCCACCTTCGCCCCCCTCCTCTTTGTCTTACGGCTGTGCTGAGGTCGAACCACCCCCCCACCCCCAGGGGCGGAGCTAGATGGGGGGCCAGCCTTAGCCAATCATTGGCCCCCCCTGTGGCCACCCCTACCATTTTATCCCTCTAATACAGACACTGGCAGCAGTAATACTCTGAAGGGAAATGTTCAAACTTATTAAATATTTACATTTTTCATATATTAACAATTACTTTACAACAGAAACACTGTGGTAAATGCACATGCGTATCAATGGACTAACATTAAAGATGATAAATACAGAATTCATGCTCTTTTCAAAACTACTTTTTTTATTATTTGGGGGGTAAAGATAAAGTTATGTGTCTCTGCAAGTCATCATGGACTCTTCAGTGAAATCAGAGATAAATAACTACTTTAATAATAACTTAAACATTCATTAAATGTGGATATTAGTACATGTAAATATCAATTTTTTGCAGAATGACAATTAATAGAAGTAGGTAATGACAATGTAAAAGATGTTCGCCCCAGAACTCAAATATTAGAGAAGTTTTTGTCCACTATACCTTTAATTTAGACAGTATGGATGTTTATATATCTGCATCTATTTGTTAGCAAAGGCTGTAGGAAAGTATAATTAGTCTTTATTTGGAAAACATGGATGTTGTGGTTGTTCCTGTTGGAACAGTGTAGATTGACCCTGAGGTTCTGGCACCCCTCAATGTACATTGGTTATTGACTGGACACCCCTATTAGGATTTTCTGGCTACGCCTCTGCCCCCCCACCCCTGTGCTCCCAGGCTGGCCCTGGGGTCAGTGGGGGAACGCAGGCAGGCAGTCAGTCAGGCGGCCCGGCATTCTTTCTCTATGTGTGTGTGGGTTTGGCTGCAGCCCACTCTGTGCTCTTTGACTCTGCTGGCCTTATAAGGCATCCAGAGCCATGGCAACAGCAGTGCTTGAATAGCAGTGTCAAATCCCTCAGCACACAGACACACGCTCACTCTCCCTAAAGGAGGGAGAGAAGCGGAGGAAGAGGAGGCTATCTCTGGGCTGCACTCCGTTGCTGAGTCTGGTTAGAAGAGAAAAGGGCGCTGTGTTTTTTTCCTGCCCTGTTGGGGCTAATTTATTCCTGCCTGGGCCAGGCAGAAAAACAAGAAAGGGAAGGAGCAGGAGAGGGAAGAGCGCAACAGTCTGGCAGCTGCAGCAGGGAGGTTCTGGTCTTTGGATGTAACTGTGCGATGGACAAGCTCTGACAAAACAAGAAAATAGAGACATGACTTTAAGGAAGGAGAGCAGCCTGTGACTGAGGAGATTTCTCAACCCAGCCTTTGTTTTGGCTTGTTTTTTTTTCTCTGACATTTGATCCTCTGACCCCATTGGCTTTGAAGGAGCAAGAGAAAACAAGAGTTTCGTCACAGAGGGCAGAGCAGGAGGACGTCTTTGGTTAACTTTGCTGCTACAGAAAGTAGCTGAGTCAGAAGAAACATTAACTTAAGGTGTCATTTCCAAAAAATAGAAGAGAGGAAGAATAAAATATTTGTTTTGCATTTTTAAATCACCATTGGCTGCATTTAAAAAAAAGCCTCAACAAGTCAAGAGTGAGTCTGGACTGGAGGTGCTCAGATCAGAAGATAGCAGCAAGGTAGGAACTGGTTGGACAAGTTTATAAGTTGGGGAAAGGGCAGGGCAGTTTAACCCTGCCTGAAGGAGAACTGTGTTGTATTTTTCTCTCACCTGCCGGTCTGATTGAGGGAAAGTAGATCTATGCTGTTTTTCATCATGGTGAAGGGTAGGTGAGGCGGTTTTTTATCTACGTTTTGCAGCAGATGTTGTAGACAACGGGTGAGAGCGAAAGAGAAAAAGTCAAAGTGAAATTTATTGTTTCCTGTGAAAAGAGCAGGGCTGCACCCTTTACTCCTGCCTGAACTCTGAACCACTTAATGTGTGTCTGAAGTTTTTTTTTTTCTTAGAGCTCAAGAGCCATTGATCAGAGGTCAGGGCTGAACATAAGAGGAGAGAGAGAGAGAGCAGAGGGATTAAAGAACGGAGAGGAAAAATATAGAAGAGGAAGGAGCTCCGGGGTCAAGTCAGCCAGACAAGCAAAGGGGAGAAAGGTCAACGCAGGCGAGGCTCCTGCCTTCAGATATCTCAGGACAAAGCTGGTTGAATCTAAACAAGGAGTCCTGGTGTCGGAGTTAGGAATCAGTCCTTTAAACTTCCTGGGGAAGAGAAAAGCCCGGTGGACAGAGCATAAGGTCCGTTTATGATCCTCTCACTGGATCAGAGAATATGGCCATGGTGAGTGGGGGATGGGGCAACCCCAACGGTGACACTAACGGACTGGGAGAGAAGGCTTACCTGAGGAGGGAGGAGGACAACGACTCACCCCAGGCTGGCAGCAGCGACGTGGACGTTGGGGACGAGGACAAGGCAGGCGTGGTGGACTGCGTGGTGTGTGGGGACAAGTCCAGCGGTAAGCACTACGGCGTGTTCACCTGCGAGGGCTGCAAGAGCTTCTTCAAGAGGAGCATCAGGAGGAACCTCAACTACTCCTGCAGGTAGGAGCTGCTGCAAAATTTATCATCCTTTCTGATCAAAGAAACAACCAAGGATGTTAAAGTCAATTTTCCATTTTAGCTTACTGTTGACATAAGCTGGACACTTTCTCTGAAAAAGCTTCTGTGAAGCTTCTGTCTCCTTGATCCCCAGTCAGCCTCAGCAGATGGCCGCTCACGTTGAGCCTGGTTTTGCTGGAGGTTTCTTTCTGTTAAAAGGGAGTTTTTCCTCTCCACTGTCGCTACAAGCATGCTTAGTGTGAGGGATTGCATCCGAGTCAATGATTCAATGCAATCAACTGGTTTTCCTTAGATAGAAAACTTTAAATCAATTTGACTGTATGATCTGGTAAACTGTAAAGTTGCCTTGAGATGACGCATTGTGAATTCGTGTTATATAAATAAACTGAATTGAACATGGTTTAAAACTGTTATACTGCTGTATCTGGTGCTTTTCTATACGGATAAAATGAATAAACCAAAAAAGTAACATTAAGATTTTTCCTTTTTTATTTGGTACCTATGATATCTAATCTATAGAGGAGAGAATTTAATTTCCCACTAAGATGATATCTTCAAATCTGAGCTTATCCCCCTAACAGCCTTGAGACAAAGCAACAAAAAGGAGCACAAATGAAACCCTGAAGGTTTGTCATGTGAGGATGGATCGTCTCAGAAGGTCAACATTCCCATTATTCTTCACCGCTGCTACTTTAATGCTGCAGCTCAGCCCTTTGCTCAAACCAAATCCTCTCTCTCAGCTGCCAAATTCACTCATTTATTCCACAGAAAAGTGCATTAACTCTGCCTGTTTTTCTTTTTGCATCTGGGCTTGAAAAGGGCTCCCTGTAAAATGTTGGCAGAGCTCAACCTGCTGTAAAAAGCAACACAAGGGTGTGTAACGCTGATGATTTACAAAGGTCACAGTCTCTCTAGCTTTGCACCCGGTTCATATAGTTCATTCACAACAGAGAGAGGAAAGCATAAATTTCTTTTCTCACTAGAGATAGAAAAAATGTATTAATAAATAAAAGAGCAGGTTGGGGTCTGTAAAATGGAAAGTAGTAGATTTTTTATTTTATTATTTTTTTTGCCATGCAGATCAAACAGAGAATGCCAAATTGACCAGCATCATCGGAACCAGTGCCAATATTGTCGTCTGAAGAAGTGTTTCCGTGTCGGGATGCGCAAAGAAGGTATTGAAAGTTCTTCCAGCTTAAATGCATCTTCTGACTCGTAAAAGTTTTTACACACGTTTCAGCCTTTTGTTTCCTTACAACAACAACTCTCCAATCTATACTTCTATAATTTCATGTCAAACCAACACAAAGTAGTGCAGAATTGTAAAGTGGAGACAAAGCTTGAACTTTTGGCTTACATACTTAGTCTTTATGAAGGAACCATCACTTCTATGAAACATGGTGGTGAAAACATTATTTGCATAGGTTCCCTACTTTAGCAGGGTCAAATTACCAGAGCTAGAAGAACAAGCACAGGGCAATATTAGAGGAAACGCTGTTGGAGGCTGATAAATACCTCACCCTGGGGTGGAGGTTCACCTTGAAAATGGACAACAACCCCGAACATCCGGAAACATGGAATAGGTTTAAAACCTTTATTAGAAAAGAGTAGTAAAAATTATGCATTCTTTGACACTCTTTTACATGATACACTACTTTATGCATATCTATTACACAAGACTTTAATTTAATTGTGTTAGTGTTGTACCATGACAGATAGTGAAAAGTTTAGGGGATACATTTGTGGAAATCACTACATCTGCGCTGCAAGATGTTATCGATCTATCATGCATATCGTGCATATAACATATATATATATTTAAAGGTATAGAGGACAATATTTTATTTCCAGGTGGATCATCTAAATACGTGGTCCTACTAAAGGGCTGTGTATACTCCCCGCAGTAGTGTGTCGCAGATGTTTTTGATTTATGCCCAATATTAAAGTGTGGTCTGTGCTATGTTATTCCATGGCACAACACAAGAGGGACATTCAGGAACTAGCTGTGGGTCTAGATATGGTAGAGGCAGTGAAGAAGTTGGGGCATTTTTGTGTGACAATGGAGGGACATGAGGGCGAAAAAGAGCGGGGATCCAGGTGGAAAAAGGCTCCCAGCGTTCTAATGCACCTCGCTCTTCTAGCTGGTCCATCTTCATGAGCCATTTTCCACAATGTCGGTCATACAAACAAAACAAGCCGGTAAGGTACCAAACAGGAAATACGCATAGTGTAGAGTGGATGTAGATTTGACCAATCAGATGCCTCCTGTCTGCGGTCACCTACGATTTTGGAGAGGGGCACTAGATTGTCTGAGGAAGGGGCGGGGGCACATTTGCGTTCACTGCAATACATAAACAGAAGACCTGGTTTCTGAGTATAAATTGGCCTTAACTGTCGATCATTCAGGTGATATGTTTACATAAGTGTAAACATATCACCGTTACCTATCTTTTTCTGTGCTTTCCCCGTTACCTATCTTTTTCTGCGCATGCTCTCTTTCATGCGTTTATCCGTGGTGAGCTACGGTTTCAGACAGTCATTGAAGCTCACCTTTTCACCGTGGTTCTTTGAAAATGGTCGGGCAAATATATATCGGGCAGATATATCCCAGAATGCTTTGTGCAGAGAGCTCTTCTCGTAAAACATTCTGGGATTTGCTGTCACAGTGGTCCGCTGTTGCTATTGGCTGTCGTTACCCTGACAGTGGCGACTACTAACAAAGATGGCGCAGGCACCTCGCAGTGAAGGAGGAGTTACGTGACCAACGGAGCAGAAAGCAGTGATCATCTGTCTGAATGGTCAGCTAACTGAGCTGGCTATAAAGTCCACTAGTCTGCGCTGTATGTGGACACAGTAAGCTTATATGAGCTATGAGAACAGCACATTTTAAACAGGGTGTTCACAAGGAGAAATGGGCTTGTGCACGCTGTTGCACGTGCTTTTTTTTTAAGTGGAGAGGGTGGGTCTTTTTAAAAGATCCTCCACAATACCTTTAAAACTGAACATTTGTTTGTCTTTCTTTATTGCTCCCAAAATGTATTGCTTTTGAAAGGAAACATTTTAAACTAAGAAGAAGCCATTTTTTCTGCATTATTGTGTATTTTAACAGATCGCTAAGTATGGACTATTACATAAAAATGCTTATGATTATGCCTTTATTTTAGGCCTCTATCTTTATCTTAAAAATGCACAAAAAAATCTAATAATTTTAGTATATAGATTTTATTCACAACTGCCCACCTCCCTTCGTCACTCAAGTCTCTCTAAACTGTCCCTTCACGCTGGCCCTGCCTCTGACCCGCTGTCATATAAAGCTCCCGTGTCAAGATAGATTGAGATGGATTAAGGGTATTTTTTCATTCTTTTGTTTCCACCTGAAATAAGCCAGCTTTAAAGTTGTTCTTTTCAGCTTAATGAAGATTCAGTAAGTCTTCCTGTCAATACATTTTATGATGAGGGCTACTTTTTCTGGTGTTAGCACTTCCCCAAAAAATGAGTGTGCATGTGCTTGAAGGACAGTGTTTATATTGTCAACTAGAGCCTGTGTACACTCTATTGCATGCATTCCTGCAGCAACAGACTTCAGGAAATTAAGCTAAGTTTGATCCTCACATTAAGAGGAAAAGGAAAGTTCATGATTCTACAGAATTTATTCAGTTTACTCAGCCGCTGAGATCCACGTCATACTGTTTCCACAGATTCACCCCACATAATGAGCTACAGTAATAACACGTACTTTATACCAGGTTCGGACTGGAATCGATTTTCGGCCCTGGTATTTTTCTATCTACACCGGCCCACTTATGGACCCCCACCCCGAAAAATAAATTAATAGAAGCACAGTCAAACGCGTTCATCTCAAATTTGAAACACAATACAAATACACATTGTGGATTAACTGATCTATTTTCAAGCATCACATGACAACCACCAGAGATGGGAAGTAACGAAGTACAAATACTTCGTTACTGTGCTCAAGCAGATTTTTCTGATATTTTTACTTTACTTTACTACTTATTTTTATGGCAACTTTTTACTTCTACTCCTTACATTTTTACACAAATATCTTTACTTTCTACTCCTTACATTTTAAAAAATTGGCTCGTTACTTTAGTTTTGAATCATTTCAATGGAGTTACCATTATTATTTTTCACATCATCAATACCAAATTCAATCTAATTGGATGGGAATCTACGATGCATTTGACACACCACTACAAGATGAATCGACAGATTTGGCGGTATTAATTCGCGGCAAATCATTGCAGCCTGGTGGCGGTGGCGTTAGCATAACAGTATGGACGACGAGATGATTGAAAATGAACACAACGGAGATCTAGTCCTATTGGCAGACATCCATTTAAAATGTAGGCAACGGCATGAAAAAAGTGGTTTCTACTTTTACTTTTATACTTTAAGTAAATTTACAAGCCTTTACTTTGTTACTTTTACTTGAGTAAAGAAGTTTAATCAGTACTTCCACTTTTACCAGAGTATTTTTTAACATAAGTATCTGTACTTTTACTCAAGTACGGAAAGTGAGTACTTCTGCCATCTCTGACAACCACCACCAATAAATGGGTTTTACTGGCTTTGGTTATTAACACAAATGCAACAGTGACTGCTGCTGTGTAACGTCCACACTTGCACTAAGACAGCCAGACCCCCACTCATACATAGAGCACCATCACTGACTCACGTTTTCCAGCCCAAAAAATGTTCATGAACCACCTGGATATACAAAATTTTGCCCAATTTGAAGCAAAGTCTATTGATCGCTTAGGCCATAAATCTAAAGAAAAACATTTTTTACCCAGAGACAGTCATTCTAAGCTGCCAGACTGGGAAACATCCCAACCTGGCAACAATGCACGTAACACGGGAATGGTTAGCCTTTAGATGCAAAACCCCATCATGCACCGCAACATATTTCTGCTAAATATTTGAACATAAATTGGTCAAATATAAGAGGAACATCGTAGCTTGGTTTAAAGAAAACACTTTTGTTCATTATAATTTAGTTTGTTGAAAGGATTTTATAGTTTAAAGAAATATGGTTTTACAGTTTGAAGAAATAGAAAATTACACCATGTGCCAACCGTCACAAGGATGTGCATGACAAGGATGTGCATGACAAGGAAGGGCTATATATACTGCGTGCATCAATTAGGTAGTGAACTTTGTATTACTTCTTGAGCTCCTTCAGTTATTTACTGTCACAGGTAGGTGCTTCGATCAGAGAGTAAGTGTTGGGGCTGGTATGAGTTAAGGAGGGCTTGCACTCGCACGCTGAAATTAGGACCGGCCCAATGGGCAAATGTCCAGTATCACAGATTACCAGTCTGAGCCTGCTCTACACCCAAGAATCAGATATTAGTTTTATATATATTTATCTTTAACTCTCTTTAATGGTGTGACAAAGCCAGGTTAAAGTCCATTTATAACACCCTAGCTGGCGTTGTTCTTTAGGTAGTTGTAGGTGATCTAAGTGTGGTTGTATTACAGTTTGTGGTGCTCTGCCATTCATAGTCCACACTGAGATGGCAGCTCGCCAGCAGCTACACTGGAAAGAGTTATTAATGAACTGTGCTGACTAGAGCCGTGACGCAGGTCCAACTGTTTCCACTTTACCTGGAAACGTCTGCTTCAACTCTGGCCAGGTCAGCTGATTCCTTTGTAGGAGGTTCTTCCATCAGAGCTGCACGTGAGGAAATGTTTCAGTAGCAGACAGATAATAAACTTTGGGAGCAGGTTTCTCTCTGCTGGTATACATGATTATATTGTGGTGTTTGTTTATTTGATGGAGGTTAAACAGCCCTTATTTTCTCTCATTTTTGATTAAATGGATCAATAACTCTGAGCAGCTCTTCAATTCTTTATTAATACAGATAATTCTCTGCAATGTTTTCATCTATATAATATATTCTTTGAAAAAAAGAAAAGAAAATTGATTTTAAAACAAAATTCTTCATCAACACAAAGCTTTTCTTTTTGTTCCCTCATCCTTTCGAGAAACAGAACAAAAGTCTTCAGAACGTTTACATTTCCTCACATTATTTGACAGTACAGCCAAAGTACGGGACTGACTCGAAGTCTGAACAATACAAAGTTGCACATAATTGTGAAGCAGAAAAAAAATATATTGCTTAAACCTTTTTTATTTCTTATAAATTGTGATTTTCCTCTTTACTTCCTGTCTGAACCAATACTAGGTTGTAGAACCAGTTTTAGGCTCACTCTGAGCTGTAAGTCTTCATTCAGGGGTTTGATTCTACCAGCTGAACATCTAGACATTAAAATTAATATCGTTTCTAGGGCTGCAACTAACAATTATTTTTGCAAATCCATTAATCTGTCGATAAGTTTTTCGATTAATTGACTCATAATCGGATAGCCAAAGGTTCCTTAAACACAAAATGTTTTTTTTTTTTTTTACAATTGGTATAATTACTGCTCTAAATGGGTTTCTCTGTCAGCTAAAGGCATATTTTACAATCTCGATACTCCAGTTAACAATTAATTGATTACTGAATAAGTTGATGATTATTTCAATCACGATTAATCTGATTAATTGTTTCAGCACTGACTTATTGCCTATTAAAGAAAGTCAGGCAGACAGCCTGGAGAAAATCTGAAAAAAGGTTTTTCCAAGTCTTGGACTGATTTGGACTAGGTCATGATTTGGACAAGACATGAATGTGTGTCAATGAAGATGAACCCCCGCCAAGGTGATTTTTTTTTTGTCTCTGTTATTTTTGCCTGTATTTGGCTTCAACTGCAATATTTCCAAATTAAAATCAACTACAGAAAAGCTTCCCCACATGATGATTCTTCCAACACCGTGTTTTGCTGAGAGAATGGTTTTTCTGTGACATGTGCAGGTTTTTGTTGTTGTTTTTCTTTGCAACACATGGAGTTTTTAACTTTGGTCAGGAAATTTAAATTTGGTCTGGTTTCACCAGACATTCTTCTTTCTCCTGCTTTTGCATCTCTATTGTTTTTAACAATAATTTCCTTCATGTCAATTTTTAAAACCTAACAACTAGGGGAAAACTGCTTGAGCAATCAGCTAGTGTTTCCCTAGAAAACAACTGCACATGCGCCTTAACATCCAAAACGCAGCTATTATCTATGTTTTGAGTTGTTCTGATGTTCCTTTTTTAACAGCAGTTTTATCAATCAATAGTCCCATATGTGTTTAGGTTCTGAATTTCAATTACAGTAAATGGGTGTTCTTGTTACGAACACTTTTTTTTATATTAAAGCGCCGAGGAGATCTAACGTGGTTTTAATGTAAACGGCTTTGAAAGTTGTATTAGTAAATAGACGATGTATAAGGGGGTTTGTATATCCGTAAAGGTCTAATCTTTGGACTGCATGACGGTGCTGTCCAAGCTCACATCCATCATGGACAACACCTTCCACCCTCTGCATCAGACTGTAAAGGAGCTGAGCAGTGAAAGACTTTTACACCCTGTTTGTAAAAAGGATTGCTTCAGCAGGTCATGCAACCCTGCTGCAACCAGACAACAACGGCAATAACTTGTGCAATATATAATGTGCAATTACTATTTGATACCCTTTGCAATAACCTGTTTCTTTATATTTGACACCCAGTGCAATAACTATATTTATATAATTATAAATATCCATCTATATAAATACCCATGTAAACACCTTGTGCAATAACCCTGTTAATGATCCTATGATAAACAACAAGAAAAAAAGTTTTCACATGTGAACGCATTGTATATACTGTATATATCCATGCACCTTTTTCTTCCTTTGGCACATAGTTCCCCTTTGACTATTTGAGCTGATTTGATGAGTAAATTTCGCCACTGTGAGATCAATAAAATCCATCAATCAATCAATGACCAGAAATCAGTACTTAATGAAGTGTTTAAATGGGATAATACATTTCAAAACCCTGCATTTTATTTGTTCAACTCAGCTATGCTCCCCTTTGTGTTGTGCTGACATAAAATATTAAACACGCAGAAAAATGCTGCTACTTAAACAAGGCAATAAATGATCAATTATATTAAGGCCAAAAGTACAATAAGGTTGGGGAATTTTACATTAATCAATCTTTGATGTAACTGCTCTCTGAATATCTGCTATTTCTACATTTAGTTTGCAAGCACTTGGTGAAAATTTGAGAATTTCTCCAAACAAAACACTATTATTTGCAAATTAGGTTAATATAATAATTATTAACTAGTCCATTCATCTACAAGAAACCAGATATCAACGTTTAACAACAAAAATTGCATTATGTCTTTCAAGATGGGATGTTTGCTGCATGGTGATGTAGTGGGTAGGACTGTTGCCTTGGAGCAAGAGGGTTATGGGTTCACCTCCTGGCCTGGGGTTTTTCCAGCTGTCTATACATCACTCAGCCCATATCAGGAGTACAACTGGTGAAATAAATGTATATTTTGTTTAGTATTTTTTGTTAACCTAAGGCAATGAGCAAATGTGGATCTCTTACATTTAAATGATTCCATCATGCTTCCCTACAGCTGTCCAGCGGGGTCGACTCCCTCCTACTCACTCAGGTATCAGTCCCAACCCGCTTTCTGGAGGGGCTGGTGGTCCTGGTCCAGGTCACCTCGGGGCAGACTACTTCAATGGGAACCCGGTGTCAGAGCTCATCTCCCAGCTCCTCCGGGCCGAGCCGTACACCAACAGCCGTTACGGAGCCCCCTACGCCCAGGCGCAGATGCAGGCATCAGCAGGCGGGGCGTCCGTAATGGGCATCGACAGCATCTGTGAGCTGGCTGCCCGCCTCCTCTTCAGCACCATCGAGTGGGCCAGGAACATCCCATACTTCCCAGAACTCCCAGTCTCAGAACAGGTCAGTTCAATTTTTTTACATAAAGTTAACATCTTTTTCCTTTAGTTACACAAGCAAAATAAAAAACTATTCAGCTTTATATGCTTTTAATTATGCTTCGGTCAACATGTATTGTCGAAAAATAATGAACTTAGGAAATTCTAATAAATTAAATCAAATCAAATTAAGCTTAACTAACTGTACTCTTTATACATATATATATATATATATATATATATATATATATATATATATATATATATATATATGCTCAATTATATACTGTTTTAGGCATAAAACTTCTTCTGCCCACAGTATGATGTAGTTCATGCTGATTTTGACATAGAATCAGTGCCATGATCCAAGGTGAAAATTAACTAAAAAAAAAACAAACAAAATATCTTCATATGTGAATTTGTAAAAAGAAAAATAAATAAATGAAAAAAATATGATTTTAAAAGATTTGAGAAGTTAAGTCAAAATTACAGGGATCAGCCCTTCAAAAATATAGTTTCATATATTGTAAAAAAAAAAAAAAAAAAACAGACAGGAGAACATAAAAACATCTCAGGTTTAAAAGAAACAGGATAACCGCGCTATTTTTATTTAAAACTATAGCTTCCCAGTTTTACACTATACCTTCATGCTAAGATTCATCAAAATAAGGTAAGAATGTCCTGTAGAATCAGAAACAACTTTATTTGCAAAATCAGGTAAAATAATTTACTTCTATGGACTTTTTTTAAGTTAATAAAAATGACTTATGTGAAATGTAATCATCGTTTGGACCAAGAGTTAGTCTCTTCTCTAACTGACAGTTTTTCCATCTCACCCCTCAGGTAGCGCTACTGAGACTAAGCTGGAGTGAGCTGTTCATCCTGAACGCAGCTCAGTCCGCCCTGCCGCTGCACATGGCTCCTCTGCTGGCAGCCGCCGGCTTCCACTCGTCCCCCATGTCTGCGGAGCGGGTGGTGTCGTTCATGGACCAGGTCAGGGTTTTCCAGGACCAGGTGGACAAGCTGAACCGGCTACAGGTGGACTCAGCCGAGTACAGCTGCCTCAAAGCTATCGCCCTCTTTTCCCCTGGTAGGTTCGGTAGATGGCTAAAAGCTTACTGTAAGGTGATATCTTGGTTATGATCTGACTCCAGGCTTCTTTAAGGGAATCCAAAACAAACAAGTCCATTTGATGTTTTGGTCAGGGTTCAGATGTCACGGAAACAAAACTTCTCCAGCTGCATGGGGCTGTTGATTTTGGAGTTTGACCTTTGACCTTACTGAATTGAGGGAAACAATAGAAAATCTCCTTTAAGCACCAGTCTGACATGTGTGTCAACAAGCTATTAAATAGATCAGAAACTAAAAGCCACATGTAGAAGCGGTTTACTCCTCACAATAACAGTAAATCTGTTTTACAGCAACTGCACTGTTAAAGCAGAAAGAATAGTAGCTCCAGAAAGGAAGGAAAGAATAATGTTTAAATGTTTTTGATTTTTTTAAGTGATTCCAAGTCTTTTTTGGATTTCTGCTGCTTCTTTACTCATTTCATCCCAGTACTGGATCAATTAATAACAGCTGAGCTCAGACTGCAGGTCATACAGGCTTTATAATGTACTGTAATGAAAAGAAAGTGAAAGTATCTGAGTGATATAACAGAAACCTGGCAAAGAAGCATATTTTAATCTTGAGTTGTTCCTAGTTTTTCTTATTTTTGTTCAGCTCTTATTGTCATTATACTGTCATAAGTACAGAGCAACAAAATTAACCTTGCCTTTAACCCATTCCCTTGGGGAACAGTGTGCTGCCATTGTGCGGCGCTCAGGGAGCAGTGTGGGGTTAAGGGTCTTTGCTTAATTTTTATCTATTTAGTTTAATCTATGAGTAATGCTAAAGATGAGACACTTTGGTAAATAAAACATTATTTCAGTGGTTATAAAAAAATATTATTTTAAAACGTAGCTCAGAGTAGCTGATCGGGTTTAAGGAGGTGGGATCAAAAAGCTTCTGTTTCAGCTTTTGCTGTGTTCTTTTACTTTTCCTCAGATATCGCTCATTATGGCTCCATGCTGTTAAAAATACAATACAAGCAAATTATTGTAAATTAACTTGTTCTTTTCTGTCATCAAATGTACACACAACCTTTCTTACATCTCATTAAGTCTGTTTTGGTCCAATGCATTGAGAGTTCACCAAGCATATAACTGGTGTACAGAGTGTAAATGCTTGGAAGTCAGAGAAGGTCACTAAATACTGAATCCAAATAGTCCTTTCAATTACCATGACATTTGGACATATTGTGAATCTGTCTTGCAGGTGGTGTTTTTGGGTTTGACACTTAAATTGGATCAAATTGGAATTAGGCTTAAATTGAAGTTAGGGCCATTAAAAAAAGGCTAATGAATTTTGACTGTATTCTCCAAATGCCGACTGATCCTGACTTAACTCTTAAAGTTCGTATAAATCTCAGAATTGTTCTCATAGAAATATGACTCCTTGTAATATTTCTTACCATATGAAAATTATAATCCTGGGCTTTGGCAACAAAGTTCTAAGTAATTTGACTTTTAATTTTCAGAGTAAAAGTAAGTATTCTGAGATTAAGGTCAGAATCAAGATTCTTAATTAAAGTCAGAATTCTAGGATTAAAGTTAGAAGTTTGGGAGTAAAGTCAGAATTCAATAGCCTTTCTTTTTATTCTGTTTTTTTTTTCAACGGTCCTAATTGTCTTACGTAGTGAATATTGGTTTGATATAGCCCCATGTTTAAAAACACTAGATTTATCAAATTATTTCTGTTTTTTTGCCTTACAGATGCATGTGGCCTGTCAGACCCCGCCCACGTGGAGTCCCTACAGGAGAAGGCCCAGGTCGCCCTGACGGAGTACGAGAGGCTTACGTACCCCAGCCAGCCGCAACGCTTTGGCCGCTTGCTGCTGCGTCTCCCTGCTCTACGCGCCGTTCCTGCGAATCTCATTTCCCAACTCTTCTTCATGAGGCTGGTGGGAAAAACACCGATCGAGACGCTGATCCGAGACATGCAGCTCTCAGGGAGCTCCATCAGTTGGCCGTACGCTGCAGGACAGTAAAGGACCCCTTCAGAGAGAGACAGACTGAGATCAGACTTTAAGAAGGCATCGCCAGGACTCCATGCTGTGACTTTCAGATCCTAACTAAGGAGACATTTTCCCTCTCTATTCCTGTGAAATTAGACTGGAATGACAGTCAGGTTATTTGATAGAAACACTGCGTTATTGTCCTGATGTATGTTTGCAGCACTTGTCAGTCGTGTTCCCTCCTCTGGCTGATCTCGCTTCGTCTCACTCTGATTGAACAGGGCCTTCATTAAACTGCTCTCTCACATGAGGCCATGTGCCTCTTCTACCTCCTCCCATATGACACCCCAATGTGACTCTTGTTGAACCCAGGCTCTGTGTGCTCTACCTTCTTTGTTGTCCAGTCTAAATTAAGCCATAGCAGCCATGGGCACTGCGACATACAGATCAAAGCTGGGAGGCGTTGGAGGGATCATGCAGAAGCTCTCATATGTATTTCATGAACCCAGGAGATAGATGAATGAATGAATGAATGAATGAATGAATGAATGAATGAATGAATGAATGAATGAATGAATTGTCTGCAGCCTGGGCGATGGACTTTGTCATCCTCAGCTATGTAAATACAAGTCTGTTACAGTGCTGTGAAAAAAGCATTTGCCCCCTTACAGATTTCCTTTGTTTTTGGCTTGTTGGAGTTTATCCCATAAAACCCATCTGTATTTAGTCCAGACCTGGACTGGCCGTTGTTTTTTAGAATTTACTTTATTCAAATTTATGGCTTCATAATTTTTGGCAGGACATCCAGGTCCTAAAGCAGAGCAGTCCCAGCCCATCACACTACCATCCTGTGTAAGAGAATCTTTTTCGCACACCTTCCACTAGGTCCCACTTTTGGCCTAAATACCCTAAATGCATTTTCCCAAAAACTCTTAGGGGACATTAGGACAGATGTCAGAGGTGCTCAAGTCCAGTCCTCAAGAGCTACTATCCTGCAACTATTTGATGCAACCATTTTAACACACCTGAATCAAATGAGTGGCTCAATATCACGCTTCTGCTGGGCTAAATGAGGGGATTAAGGCTTTGGATTCAGGTGTGCTAGAGAGGAGATGCATGTAAAAGATACAGGATGGTAGCTCTTGAGGACTGGACTTGAGCACCCTTGATCTATTTCTTTTTGACTAGTTTGTCTTTTAAAGGCACACTGTGTAACTTTTGGCCACTAGGGTGCCAGAGTTTCTTCAGGGTGTCTTGAAACGAAGTGAGCGTGAGTTAAACTATCACGACAGCACTTAAAGGCTTACAGTGTGAGGTCCGTAGGTGGGAAATGCAGGAGCTTGCAGTGAGGAAGGTGGTTGCCATGCAGGAGGAGGCTGGTCGGTAACGGGCAGGGCTGACCTGATGAGTCTGCGGTGTGGCGGAAAGTGACAGTCAGCTGGGCGTTGCGCTGATTGAGCACTGGCATGACAGCTTGAATCTCTGAGAGGCTGAGAAACGGACCAGAGGCTGACATGCTCAGCAAAGATCTGTGACTCGTGGCGCTCAGAGGTGGGATTCGGAGCCAAACAACCACGTATGGCTAGCAGGAGAAAAACAAAGGCTGGACACAGAAACCACTGCAACACCCTGACAACATCGAAATAATAACAAAGATATATGATTGTATACTAGGAGCAAAGTGTTAACTTCTGCTCTAGTAATAAAGTTGAGAAAAGAGAATCGATTTTAAATCCGACTTCTTCTTTCAGCCTGCGCCAACAAATAAACTCATTTCCATGTTTCACGTTTTCTCTTTTTAGCCTCCTTAGAAGGTTTAAACTTTTTCCTTGCCTCAGACATGACCAGTAGTCGAGCAGGCGGGAAAACTAGTAGAGCAAAAGCGTTAGCTCCATGACTATATGAGAGCCTGTGCCCGTAAAGCGATACTTTCTTCCAGGTCACATGACCTGGCCAATGACGGTCCGTCATCTCCCAGCTTACATAGTTGGTATTTGAAGAAGGGAGACCCGCTTGTAGGATTGATAGTATCAATCGCTGTATATTGGCTTAAGGAATGATTTAAAATAACTCATATGCCTCAACTATTTAGGCGACAAAGTCCATAGTGTGCCTTTAAATCATCAAAGTGGGTCTAAGCCGAGGGATTTGGTGTCTGCTCTGCTCTGCTTTTTGTGACCTCCTGGATGTGTTTCTGAAGTAATTTTCTTGTTAGCTTTTCCTTAGAAAGGCTAACCACTGTTCCATGTTTTCCCCTTATTTCTGGTTTATGTCTCAGCGTGTTGTTTCCAGGGGTCTCATAGTTCAAGCCTACTTCATGCCACCGTTTCAAAAATTGGTTTATTCTACAGTTCTAACAGTAATCAGACCTTGTTTTTTGGTTAATTTTCAACATTATTCCCCTCCAGAAAAAAAGTCATCATTTAAAATAAGCATTTTGTTTTTCCTCAGATCACCTTAGCTGAAGTTAAAATGTGTTTGTCGATCTGAAACATTTATATCTGTATTTCTATATCTGTAAGGAGGGAAATTCTGTTCACAGCATTGTATAGAGATGAAAAGGGTTAGTTTGGCACTTCTTTAGTAATTGCATCAGCGTTTTCTGAAGATGGGGACCTATGATGTTTTATCGACGACCAATGTATTTAAAACACACCCTGGTTGTTCAGAAAGTCACATCCCTTTGGGACTCTATTACCTCATGTTTTCTTCATGACAGACAGAGATTGTATGGTGAACTTTGGTGTTGACTATAAAGGGATCAACCGAGGCATCATTACTCCCCGAAGATTTAAAAATATGTTTAAAGATCCTATAAGCTTCATGTGGGATGATGCTTGGCTCAAGTGAATTTTGCATTCTGCTCTTTTTGCTTTTATAAATGTTGAGGAACATAATCTTCATTTTCTCCAACAGTTCCAATCCTCTTTAAAGAGGTAACAGCCATCCTTTAATCATAATTATGTGATGATGAAAGGTACCTTCATGTTCAGGTGTGCTGTTAGGATCCAGGTATTTTATAGACTATGAACCACAGCTCAGTGGAAATAAACGTATTTTTGCCAAAATGATTGATAAAAACTGTGTTCCTAAAGCTTAGTTTTGATGTGACTTATTTTTCCTGTTATATGCTAAAAAAGGCAGTGATAGCCATGATCCCTGGTGCATCAGTTTGTGCTTATTTGTTAGTATTTTGACTTTAGTGATTTATCTGTGGAAGCAGCTTAACATGTAAAAGAATCATGTCTCTATGACCATGCCAAAACTAAAAATCGCAAAAGAAGTTTGTCTGGCTGACTCGTTATTTTCTAACCACCATGAATAAAAGGCTTTGGAGTGAATTGTAGGCTTCATTCCTGCAATTCACTTCAAAATCTTCACAGAGCCACAGGCCTAGTCAGAGCATTGCATATCATCTGATTATCACTGCAGCCAGTGGGGATAATAAGATGATACACATGAGATCATATGCATCCAAACTATGATAACCATATGACCCAGCAGTAGCTGTTTAATTGGATGTCCATCTGATTTTTGATCCTATTCTGCTAATTTACAGAATAAGACATGATGAATAACAGGTTTAAATACTAATTGATTTCACTAAAGCCTCTAGGTTACCCAGATCCCACAAAAAGATTAGTACTTTTATTTTGACTGTCCTTAAAAATACTTTTATTTTTACTGTCCTTAACAACAAGGATGTTTAGTGCCACCTACACTATTATTTAATTTAGCTTAGAAGATCTCACAGGATGTGGATCAGAAGATCTTTTGCTCTGTCAGGAAATACTAAACAGTGTGATAAAGGTTGAACATCTTCTGCCTGTTTGATTCAACATCAGAACCAAACAGTACAGCTTGTTTTAAATGTTGGGTTCTCCTCCCCTTTCTTTTAGGTAAATCTGGATAAGTCATTTAAAAGGACACAAGAACTGTTGTTAAATTTTAGGTTTCAGTCAATTCTGACAGTATTTTAAACTATAATGTCTTGTTCTACTGATCTGTAGTTTTGAAGCAGGATTAGTTTTACCTTAGCGTTCTTTTGTTCCATCTTACTTTATCATAAATGAATAAAAATGTCTTTAATTACTGATAAACATAGTTTTTAATTCCATTAAATATTGCTCTCATCTATTATTAGAGGCATTAGGTTTCTTATTACTTTTAGTTCTAATTGCTGTACAAAGAAAAATCTCCTTTTTTTAAGCTCTTCAGATTGATTTTTGATACGTTTGGAGATTAAATTCACTTTAGCTTATTACCTACTACATCAATCCCACAGGATGGATCCATTAATGTTTGGATGAATGTTTCGCACATTTTAAAGAACTGATCCTTGAACTAAGAAGACTTAACCCCAGGAGCTCAATTAAAGATTAAAGTCAAAGACTTTAAATGCAGCAGGCAGGCTTAACCTCTAACTCCACCTACAGTAAGATGCAGTAATAACTTTAGTCTAGTTCAGTTCAATGAAAGACAATATTTTAGGCTTACAGTGTAATTTGCAGGTTCAGGCCAGTGGATATTTTATTTCAGCTTATTCTTGATTTATGAAGCTCAACACACATCTGCATTCTTTAACTGGCATGTTGTCTTGTGTTTCCTGTTCTGAAGAGAAGCTAAGAGGCATTTAGATCATGTCACCTTCCTGCTCAGAATAGATCTTACAAAACATGGATTAAATATTTGAAGACACTTCACTAAACTCAGAAAAATCCTCATTTACAATAATTATGTTGAAACTGTTAGAGGCCCTAATACATGTATTACTAATCGATGTAATAAAAACATTAATCTTTCAATTTGTTATCTTAACACTGAATTAAAGAGCTCTAATTAAAGGTTAGATTTCCCTTTTTTAGACTAGGATGATCATGATGGCAGAGTTAAAGACACGTTTAATTTTAGGCCTGCATTTACTTTGCATGGCAACAATAGATGAAAGTTGAATTAATTCAGAACAGGAGCAAATCCTTTCTATTTATCCATAAAGCAGAAACTCATTCATTTGCAAAAACTACACAACATAAAACAAAACTAAAACTTTACTCTACCTGAAACTATTAAAATTAATCATTTCCACAACTTTAGACAACTGCAGTCAAATGTTTTGTTTCTATACTTTGATAGTACATATTTCTACATATAGGTAATAAGTCAGTATGATGAAGCAAAACTACAACTCTTATTTTTTTTACTATTTTAAAGAGTAAAGGTTATTACACTCACTGCACAGATGAACACCTAACAGCCTGTAGCCTCAGCAGTGGCCTCCATCTCTTCCTAATGTATCCATTGCTGCCTGAACAGGATCTGCCTGCTGTTCTCATCAGTGATGAAGTGGTTACAGCAAACATATAAAATAGAACAATTTCTTCCATTAAATCAACATGCTGTGACAACACAAGGCTGCACATCTGCTACAATACTGTGTATTTGTGCAACAAGTGAATATCTTTGAAATGATTACTATGCTTAACCACTAGAGGACAGCATCTGTTAGCATTTCTCTCACTGGTCTTGTTTGTGGCTCACTGAAGATCCATGAAGCAGAAACTCACCTTTCCCTCCCTGCTGGGTGTCCTCTGTACAAGAGAAACTGATTTCTGCAAACCAATGGAGCAGTAATAAAAAGTACTGTTTTGTTGAGAATTAGACGTTTATTAGTTGCTAAATTAATACTATGTAGACAACATAATTTATGCATGTGTACATTGAACAAAAACAGAATTTTAATGACAGCAACAGTGAAAATAAATGTCTTACAAAAATAAATGGCTCATAAACGGTTTTTAAAAAGACAATAAAAATCTTCATAAAAATGAAAATGCAAAATAAATCAAAGGCATTTTTTAAAATTTACAGCAGATCTTTTTGCATTTAACTGAAAAATAACATTACAGCAGATTGAAATGAACATCATTGGGCAAGGTTATATTGAAGCTCATGATAGACAATATAAAACCAGTTAGATTTTTTTTTTTTACCAACCAGATTTTAAATGATTAAAAAGTCACATCTTTTATGTATAATAATGCTCCACAATTATATTTACTGATATAATGGATGTAGTATCAGTCTGTTCTTGATACCTGGTATAAAGTTGAGTCCTTTAAAGCATGTACAGTACATTAGAGTTTATCACACTGGGCAGTTTATCCGCTTTTTGGTTTCATCACATTTGAGAGTCAATAAAAACCTAAGAGTAGTCAAAAAAAAGAACAAAAACAGTACAATGTTCCCACAGATTGGCAGCTCTCTGATGGTTAAAGTGGCTGCAAATACTGACACTTGTGTGAAAGAAAAAGCTTAACTAAAGCACATTTGCAACAAGGTCACAACAAATATTAACAGAGCTGCATGTTTTCTGCAAAGCAATCCCCGTTAGCAGATAAGCTTGAAATGACCCTTTTCACCCAGCAGTCGGTGGTCTCCACAGTGCAAACACTGAGAAATGTTTTTATCAGGAGATGCTACAACTGTCAACATTGCCTCTGCTTTGGTGAAAAGATAAATTAGCGATCAGAAAATGAAAGTAAACAACTCTTGATCATTAATTTTACCGTATGTGTTTCCCTGTACATTGTTTGGCTGCAGCATAGGTCTGCATGTGCCTGTGTTTGCTGTAGCTTTGACCTCAGCATGCTACTTTCTCTGAAGTGTTTATGGAGTGTATCTTGACCAACGTCTGAGAGGTTTTTGATGCGCGGAGAGATGGAACAGAGTTGACCGCTTCAGTGGTTCTTGTCGTAGTCCTTCACCATTCGCTTGATGTGAAACAGCTTGTGTCTTAGTCTGCGGCACTCCTTCTTCTTAGACTTAAAATCTGATGTCTGCAGAGCACAGAAGAAATGCATGGAAATATTTGTCAGATAATAAAAACACAGCACTACGACAACCAGGAATCTATTTAAAAAAGAAAATCATCTGAAAATATATGAAAATAAAAAAACAACTAATCAACTGTTAGCCTGACGACATGTTTTGTAGACTAGATCACAGTATATTCTAAGGTCTGTTTACCTGCTTCAGATCCTTCAGCTGATTATATTCCTCTGCAACAGCCTAAGAGACAACAAGAAAACTGGTATTAGTTGTGATTACGTATCATTTGCACACACTTAGAGGTCTGGAGCTTCTGATGTGGAAAGAACCCTAGATAATAAAGAAGCAAAACTAAAGAAATAAAGACCAAATATCCAAAACGTAGGTTAGGTTTTATTAGGAACACAAAGATGATCTTGGCACTGATGACTTGCTTAATTACTCATGTCATTCACCTATCTAACTCCACCCAGTTTCTCATTACCGTTTATCTGATCCACTTGCTCCAGCTTCTATTTAACCAGCCATCTAACCAGTCAACAGTGCCAGATTATCTCTCAAGCCCGTTTTGAGTGTTCCAGCGTTACCTTAGTGTTGATGATTACCTGATCTTGACCTGTTCTGCCTCTAAACCACTGGGCCTGCCTGTTCCCCTCTGATCTGTTTGCCTCATCTGTCTTCGGACTCCTGCTGGGTTACATCTGTTAAATGAACATGGAAGTGATTCCTGACAGCGACCTGGATTTCCTTTTGGAACTTCTGCGGGGTTCTGATCTCCTGGTTCTGAATCTATAGCACGTCCTAGACACTAGCTTTGGCTTCGCGCTTTGGATTATCCTGCTTTTTTTGACTGGTCAGATCTGATCTCCTGTTTGTTCTCCAACCTCTGGGACTATACTATTGCGCCTGCAGCGTCTAGTTAACAGCCGACCGGCTGGAATCAACCTCTTTCTTGGGGCACAAGCCTTGACAATGACTACCAGAGAAGATCGGAGACACCAAAGTCACTGCAAAGACACAGCAAGTCAGATGACCTGAAGGCAGCGATTAAAACAACCTTGGCTTCCATTACACCTAAACAGTATCACAGGCTGAGATGCAGTCCTCTATGCAATAATTCATACAAGAGGAGACCCAACCAAGCAGAGTGCAGAGAAATGGACAAAGTTTACAGATGCCTTACATGTGTACCTAAAACATCCTTTTTGGGTTTATACTGTAAGAATCTGAAATTGGGTTTTTCTTTACTTCTAACCCATAATATTCAGTCACAAAAAATAAAAGCTTGAAATATTTTGCATTAAAAAAAACTATAAAATTCCTCTGCAAGGACTCCGTACTGAAATTCTGTCTGCATCTAGGAAAGCTTTCTAACTATGCAGATAGATTTGCAAGGACAATCTCTACATGTAATGACTGTGCATCAAGCCTAATGAGCCCTTAAATCAGTAACCATAAAATACCAGCTTTTGCTGTGTTTACAGGTTTTCTCTTTCTAGAGCTGCAGACTGAGGTTGTAATTATACAAAAATTTCAAACTCAATGTGCTTATTACAAAAAAGTGGTATTTGTGATACTGCAGACTTTTTAAAGACAAAATGTTGTTTATAGTTTAGAGCAAAAAAAAATCTGAAGTATAATATGACAATATTCTTATTGAGTGCAAAACCAAACATGCATAACAATAACGTGAGCTGCAGGGTTGCTAGGTGCATCGCTACAGGCATGGTAATGCTAAGCCACCTTTATTTGACATTAGTGAGAACTTAACATAGCTGAATAGTAGCTGGTTGAATGGATGTCCTTTTTGAAAATAGAAATTTTTTAGCAAATGGGGGCTAAATAACACTGCACATCACACCGTACAAAACTCTAGTTGTAAAAACAATTTGTGTCTCATTTTCTGTCACCTTAAAGTAATGCTACTTTTTGTGCACAATAGTCCAGTGACTTTCCCGAACACATCTAAAAATATCCCAGTCCATCTGATAAATGAAATGTTTTCCCTTAAAATAAACACAATTTGCTTTCACTGACATCAGCTTTAGAGATTTAGTGAGTTAAAGCCTTTTAACAGAAAATCAATCTTATTCTGTAGATTAAAAAAAACTACTGAGGCTCATAAAAGTCTACAAATAACAGAAAGAGTTACAGTTTAAAGTTTGGATAAGCTGATCATAAGCATCACAACTGTAACTAATTCAGTATACTTTAGCTCTACAAAATTTCTAACTGATTTTTTTATTTTTTATCTTTACTTTAGAAACTAAGGGAGGACTTTCAGGCCAAAAAACCAACAGACAATATTTCCAACTGCTTCATTTTTTCATGTCACAGAATAATAACCCAGCCTATAGTCTGTAGAACTGACCTGGTATTTAGCAGAGCCCTCATCAATTGTGTCAAGCTGCCGGCTTAGTTTGTTCAGCTGATCATTGATGTCGTCCATCTCGGCACATAGGCGCTTGTATTCCCGCAGGTCTGCGTCAAACTCTCTCTTGTATCTGTTTCTCTGAGAATCCGTGGTTATTTCGGGGTAAACACTGCAAGGAAAAAAGCACAGGGAAGATTGTGGCGAAATGAAAAAAAAAGATGGAGATGAAAGAGAAGAGAAAAGAGAAAGAAACCAATTAAAATCAAATGGAAGGAAGTTTTAAAATGATCTTTCATTCTAACAGAGGAATTATAATGTATTCATAGATTAAGAATACATGGTCTTTTTTCTATGCTAGTTTTGGAAGTTCAGGTGCAAGAAAAAAAAAAAATTATAATTAAAAAAATGTCTCTGACTAATTTTTATCAAAGATGTGCCAGACTTTGATTGACTCTGATGGGTAATGGAACGGTCAACCTAAAAGATTTTAAAAAATGCTCTATTCATTAAATGTTTTTAAAATAGCACTCACATAGACAAACAACATGAACTGAAATTTACTTTTGTTTTTATCAAAGAATCAAGTGAAGTCCAATCATGTAAAAAGCTTTATTTAATGTTGGATTTAAAATGACATCGCTTAAAAAAATCAATAGTATTTTTTTGTTATGATTGATTGATTGACTAAATTGATCTCACAGTGGAGAAATTTACTTGTTTATATGTTTGTTTTGTTTACGGAGAAAATAATAACTGGAACTAATCTAAACTGGAACTGACAAGTTCAGTCTCAAAGAAAGCTGTAAAATGACATAATTCAGGAAAAACTGCAATCTGGGCATCCCTACATCTAACCTTTGTCCCACTTTTCTCCTACTGGAAACATGTGAAGCAGCATGCCTCAGAGGATTACCTGAGGAACACAGACTGAAACTTTTTCCAGTGGTGTTGTGAAGGTGTTTGTCATCTTTTTGTTCCATGTTTTCATAATAAAAATAAGTCTGGCTGTATCAAACTATTTTAATAATAGTAATAATTGTGGCAATAATTGCTGCCCTAATTATTGGGACAACTCTATTTCCAAGGGTTACAGTTAATCATTTGTATCAGAGAATCTGGGTCTGGTCCTGAGGGAGAAACGGACCGTTCTAATCATGTTCAGGTCTGAGATAATGACATTTCCAGGACATTTTCACCTCTAATCCCAACAGAAACTCTCACCTCTCCAGTTCTTCATCAAGTTCATTGCCTGTTTCTCCTCCTGTTGTGTATTCTGTCTCATACTGGGACTCGTCCATTTCTGGGTTTCGTCTGCGTCTCTTGCCCCGGTTAGCAGAGGGTCTGCGGCCTCCTGTCTCCTCTGACGGGCTGGAGCTGATTCTGCCACCGTAGGAAAACCCTTCAGATGGCCGGCTGGTTATTTTCTCTGAGTATCTGAGGAAAACGATTATATGGTAACATCAGGTGTTTAAGCCGTTTAATCTATTAGAAGCACTCAGACAGAATTTATAAATTATTTTAGGGATTATTCTTTAGATTCATTGATTACTAAAAACTAAGTATGCAACAAAGAATGCTAAAGAGAATCTGAAAAAGACCTTTTATGTGTAAGTAGTACAGTTCCAGTGGATAATCTCTTATACTACAATACTTTATCTTATGGTGTAGTGCAATAGTAATTCTAAAATCATTCAAAGAAAGAAATGTACTTCCAAGAACACCGGAGGCTGTTTAATGATAAGTTTCAAATGGATGCTACATGGAGAAAGGAAAGAGTTTACATGGTCATTGCTGCTCTCGTCCTTCGCTCTGAAAACGCCACCATATGGAGTTCCACAGTAAACAGGAGGCAGGTACAGAGCTTTAATACGTTGTGGATGAAGCCCATTCAATTTCATAGGTTTGTAGGGATTTGTGGAAAAATCCAAATCCAATGGCACAGATATTAAAGGTTATTACTACATAGTGAATTATGTGGGGAACAGAGCGCCCTGCAGGTCTGCAGGATAACATTCCTCTGCTTATGAAACCACCTCTCTTTACTTTAAAACAGAGGAAATCATTTCTACTTTGACTCAAAGCTGTGTTTTTGAAGAGGTATTTGTGACTAGACAACAATCGCTTATTGAATATTTTTAAAAATTTTTGAAAGATGCTGTTCTTTTTAAAATACCTTGACATGTCCAAAACACTGTCCTCCACCAACAGCAGTTTTAAAACCAGAACACTTATTCATAAATATCCCCCATCTCCTCCTCTTCAGACAATCCAATGGCAGAGGGGGGTGGGGGGCAGGGCGGTAAATCCAACTGGATCTCAAAGGTTACAAACAGCTTTCCATGTGGGCAGGGCAAAGTGTTTCTATGAGCTTTGAAACAGGGTAGTAATTACAGCCGCTTCTGTCACATGTCACATGCAAATGAGTCAAACAAAAAGCAGAAAAAGCATTACAAGGTAATCCTACTCTTCCCTATTCTAATAATATAGGTACATAAACAGAGAAAAAAGTACATAGAAATAAATAATAATGAACCTCCCTTTCTATTTTAGGAAAATCAGGGCATTCAGAGAGCTTTCATCAGCAGAAAGGTCCTTCCATTAATACAAATGTTCACATCCACTCATTACAAATTCCTATTTTAGGATGTTAGCATCAAACAACTGCAATAAAATTTAACAATAACTGGGTTCACCAATTACAATTTATCATGGATTTCTATAATCCAGATAGAATCCAGAGTCCTTTCAGTTGTCTCAGCAAGTTAGTGAAGTTATCCATCTTTGACTTTATGAACTTCGATGATAGTAGTTCAATCTGGTTGCATACAAAGGCTTTACATTTGATAAGGAAACCTATGTTTTCTGTATTTACCATAAGTAGAGCACATGATCAGAGGCACGCTAAACAAGGAAGTTATTTCCCTATTGGAGGTGTAGAAAGTAAGAGGAAAAGACCAAGATCAAGTGTTAAAAAAAAACCCGCCAAATTTATAGGATGCCAAGAGAGATGAGACACAATTGGCGCCTGGTGCAACATGCAACACAAATGTTTTAAAAAAGGATTAAGTAAACACTATCAGGACAAAGGCTGGTCATATATTGCTTTATTCTAACATGCAGATGTGGTTTTTGGTGTTCTTTATAGACATAGAACATGGCAGGGCTCCTTAAATGCTTGGAAACCCTCTCTGAATACAGGACTTGGACCTTGGTTTCCTTAGTTAAAGATGCAAACTAACCCCGCTATGCCAAAAGGGACAACCCAGATGTACAAATACACCTACATTAATATCTTCTTAGATGCGGCTTTAATCTAAGCTTTAAAAAATTAAACCTCACACAATGTGCTGCTATAATCTGACCCCTTCTTTTAAAGGAATGTGTTGAGCATATTTAAACAGAATAGTTTCCTTACACAGATTAAGATATTTACACATAATAAACCTTTCTCTTTCTTTTTTCTTATTGTTTTATTGTCATTAAACTGTCACTAGTACAGAGCAAGGAAATTCACTCTTTCTGAAGCATATCAAAATCATTTTCCAAATCAGTTTTGATATGTATTGATGTCCTATTATAAACAAAAAACACAAACCAAGAAAAACACAAGTAAAAAGGTGAAACATCAATGTGTGAAAATGCAAAATTCAGGTGAAATTCTAGGTATTTGTTTTAGAGGTGGTGCTATTTTCTGACTTTACCCCACCCGGTCCTTGTTGATGTTTAACTGGTTTTTATTGTGCACAGTGACACATATGTTCCATTATCTTCCAGTTTATTATCAGTTATACATTACAAGCAATTGCCTTTTATAGGGGCATCATAGACTGAATAGCATGATTGAAACTTGGACACAGGGACGAGTTTTAACAGAACTATGATCCCAAATCATAAAGTTCTAATGTAAATTTTGTATCAAAACAGTTTTTAGAACGGGTAAAACAGGTTAACATCAACCAAGTCTGTAACATTGAACATCCATCCATCCATTTTCTGTCATGCTTAGCCCTGCTGGGGTTGGGAGATGTGCTGGTGCCTATCTCCAGCTGTCAATGCCGAGAGGCGGGGTTTACCCTGGACACGTCCCCAGTCTATCGCAGGACAACACAGAAACCAAATATATGCGACTTGTATGTGATCTCCTGTGTGAACTGCATTTATACAACCTAAGTATCCCTCATGCGCAGTAGAGGACGCAATGACGTGTTTACGGAAGTAAACATTGATGGTAGTGCTGGAGAACATCTAGCAATCTTTCCCATCCTTAAAAACTCAATCTTTCCAAGATTGTTAAACATAAATACTACTTTCCGCATTATTGTCCACCATTGCTGTTGTTTTTCTTGCCACTTCTGGGTAGCAAGAAGCAGAAGGGTGACCACTGTCGGGTATTAATGACATTTAGGTCGGATGGATGCAACCTGGCTGTTCAGAAACAGGTCGCATTTGAAAAGATCAGATTCGTATTGGATTCAGGACCACATAGCCAAGCGGCCTGGGTCACATTGGAAAAAATCGGAGTGTGTTGTTCAGACTGTCATGAAAAGATCAGATCCAGGTCATATATGAGCAAAAAATCGGATTTGGGTCACTTCAGACTGCACTGAGAACATAGCTCAGAAAGCAAATTAACCCAACAGTCATGTTTTTGGACTGTGGGAAGAAGCCGGAGTAACCAGAGAGAACCCATGCATGCTAAGGGAGAACATGCAACTCCACGCAGCAAGACCCTGGACAAAACCCGGAACATTCTTGCTGCAAAGCAGCAGTGCTACCCACTGCGCCACTGTGCAGCCCCTAACAGTGTACAATCTTACTTAAATTTGCTCCACAGTTTACAATAATAGCTCAAACTATGCGGTTTCTCTTAAACATACTGAGGAACTCCTCATCAAACTATTGAACATGTACGCATAAAAGTTAAAGCTGTTAAGATTGGATGTCAACAATAAATCCAAACTAGTGAACTGAATGTAAAGCTTTGGTCTGCTCATTGACTGGCATTGATTTTCACATCAAAATTATTTAAATAAAGAAAGCTTTTATGAATTTCTTATCTCCAAAAGTAATTTAGTTTTTTATAAATAAAATACAGTCAACTGTTTAGTAGCTGAACAAATCTAGAGGTTGTTTAAACTTAAATTAGGCTCAAATAATTTACAAAAGGGGAATTAAATTATTAGTAATATTGTCTGTCGTTACATATTTGTGATATGGTAAAGTAGCTAAGTTATTAATTTCAAATCTGAGGATCCAATGAAAAAAAGTTTCAAAATAAAAGTAATTTTAAAAAGAAAACAAGGTCACTTACTGGTTATCATCCTCATTGTAAGAGCCAATGTCCACCTTGGCCGGGGGGTAGGAGGAGACGCTGTCGGATGAGGCGTTGAGCAGCCCGCCTCCTTTCTCGGACACCAGCAGTGTCGCGGCATCCTGAATGCTGCGGCTTTCCTCCACATTGTTCACCTACGGCGAGCCGAAAGAAAGCACAAGGAAAAGGCTGAGCAAACACAAACAAACTGCTGCGACTCAAAGAATAAGGACCAAACCTCTTTATGGACCAGTTCTCTGACTCATATCCTACTTTAAATAAACCTATTTTTCTTCGTCTCTTATGTTTTGACATTTTCATTAGCCCATTCATATTATCTACAGTATTAATCACTTCAAGTCTCAGCTTTAAAACAATAAAAGTTCAAACATGAGCTTTTCCTGGAAATCTTCAGCTTTAATAATAAATGTCAAACTATTCTTTAAGTACCTAAACCAGAGCCATTGAAATATGTTTTGTTTTAGTTAAGTATTTGTAATGAATAACTGAGATAAGAAATCATAAAAGTACACATATCTTCAAATCCATACTCTCCTTCCTAAACAGTTGAAGGCTAAACACTGTGGTGATGACAAGATCTGTGTGAAGTATGCATCTAAAGACATACTGGTCAGGTTGGCCATTTGTGGTGGCATAGCTCGGGCTAACCCTCCACCTGATTTTCAAAATGTTGCTGTATGTTTAATGAAAAATAAACCTTCTTATCTTATTATTTATTCCTTTGAACAGATAAATATGGATCCTTCAGTTTTCTGGAACTTTAGCTAAGGATAAACACAAACACTAATCCCTTTATCTCCAGGGTTCCATCAAATTGTCATCAAGTACCATTGCTTTAATTTCACCATTAATAACAATATTTTTCTATTGATCTTTTATTTGAATGAGTTGTCAAAACAGTCTTCTAATAATAGATATATGAGTAAAAAAAACCTATGTTTTCCAACAGAAGACTATAAGGATAATTTAGAAAGCAACTTCTGTCGCAGCATGGTTGGTACTTTCTATGATCCCCTGAAGAGAATGAATCATAGACTGTGTAAAATGTTGAGACAGACGGCACAATTTCAAAAAAATAAAAAATAACCATTAAAAATAAAAACCAAAAGATTTGTCATAACAAGAAAACAAACAATAATTTTTTTTCTATCTTTTCCTTCAGCTGCCTCATTTCATCATTCACATGTGGAAAAGATTTTCTCTTCCTCTTTGTTCTCAAGTAAACAAGAGTCTCACATGTAAAAACATTGACCTACAACCCATTTACTGTACAAGTCCTTCTTCTGAGGTCAGAAAGCCTCTGTTCCTCACAACGGAGGAATCAGGGTTGGTCTCTGCTCAGAAAGTTTATACATCGTTCTACAGTATGCACTAAACAAGATCAATGTAATTCACTTTTTCTCTCAGGCTTTAAGAAACATTAAATAAACAAATCTAAATTTAGTCATTTATATCAGGAAAATAAATAGTTCAACTGAGAATCATATTCATAAAACCTTTAAAAAATCAGAGATTACAGAGGAGTACAACAAAGCGAGAAGCTTATGCCTCTGTAGGATTTATAGAAAGATATTATGATGCAAGAAAAAGATAATCCTAAAGGGTTTCTGTCTTTTGCCTTTAATAGATTCATAAGCCTCATAAAAATAAAGCCTCTAATGCAAAATCGAATTCACAAAAACATAATGGATCTGAATAGGACTTCAAATGCTCTCCTAAAATGTAAAAAAAATAATCAGCTACTATATTTTCTCAGATAAGATATATGAGATATATAGATGGATATATAGATTATTACAGCAACCCATTATTATTATTATTTTTTTTTATGCAGTGGGGTAGAAAATCTTAACTAACCCATTACTAAGATTGATGACCACTACATGTTTATTTTTGGGCAATAGCATCAGCATCAAAATTACTATGATAAAAGAACAGGAGAGGAAAAAGGAAAACATCAGTATTCTGTTTTTGTTTTTTTTGTAATATCTTGCCTCATATCTGTAACAGCAAATTACAACAAATAACACAAATTACAGAAACAACAAACATCCCCACTAAAAGCAATAATAATGGTGAGCATGGGTCTCCCTCTCCTGCAGCTGCAGGTGAATCCTGTATGGGGGGGAATTTCATAGAGGAATCTCAACAATGTCCTTTCAGGGTGCAACACAACAAGCAATCCGCTGTGAGCACAGGATGTGTTTACAGTAGGATGCCGGAGGCAAAGGAAGGACCAACTATTGAGACACAAAAACTAAGATGTGCAGCTTGTAGTTGCTGCAAGTAAAAATACCAAAGATATAAAGTTGGGAAGTAGTCAAATAGAAAGCAATCAGGAATAGAAAGCAGTGGTTTGACTCAAAGTCAAATATACAGCCAATTCTAATTGAAATGTGACTTTGTTCTGCTTCAACGATTCACTAGCAGATTAAATATCAGGCTAAAGGGATTATAAATACATAAGCAAAAAGAAGAAAAAAGCAATATTTTATTAAGGAAAAGAAAATTATAATATCAACAACAAAGGCAGACTAAAGTTTATGAAAACCGTTGATATGAACGGCTTAACTTTTAAATCTTTTTTACAAGATGAAAAGGAGACTAGAACCCAATTATTATTACTTCTACTCTAAAATAGCGCGGCTAATTGGTTTCATACCAATTCAATTGGTTTCATTATTACATTGTTAGGTGAAAAAAGTTCATAAACTCATAATGGTAAATGCATTATGATTTGGGGTTATTTAAGGGTTTTAGTTTCCTCTTTAATTTTATTCTGATCTTTAAGTTTTGCATTATTTTTTACTTTTAAGGGTTCTATTTTCTCTTTGGATTTTCTACCTTGTTAGGTTTAACATTACTAATTAAGAGCTTTGGTCTTGCCTAAGCTGTGCCTCAGTATCTAATTTTTCCATGTTCATATTAATTAGATGTTTTTCATGCTCTCTCTTTTATTACTTATTCATTTTTTTTCTAATTGACCTTAGTTTGTTTTTTTTGTTTTTTTTATGTGAGGATTCATTTCTTAGATCTTTCCAGTGGTTTTGCTCATTCAGCTATGGCTTTGTTCTTTTCTCTGTGTGTATTTACTCCAATCCCATTCAGTTGCTGTCATTATTGCTTTTCCTTGCCACGTAAACATGTTTATTGGTTTATTTATATAGATCCCCATTAACTACTGAGCCAAAGCAGTAGCTATTCTTCCTGGGGTCTTAGCATTTTTTAACAGATATTACATCAAAGCTGTGTAACAATGAAGCCAAATACAGAGGTACACACACACACACAACAATACAACTTCATATACATATATAACATACACACAGATACACATAATATAGTATGAGCTCTCCTATGTACAAAACATTACCAATCTCTGGGTATTATGTAAATTATAAAAAATGTCAGTTACTAGTGCTCATTATGAATTACTTCATTCCATAAATGTTACGTTACCTCCAAAGTAAATATATAAAGTCTAAGCCTTTTGGAAAAGTTACCATTGCACAACCCTGAAATCAAGAATTGTTCAACAGCCAAGTAAGCAGAGGCGTCCTTCATGTATTTTAATTCACTTGTTTATCGTTTTTGTTTTCTCATGTCTATTACCACATGTATTTCTATATAGTCAGTTTGATTTCTCTCTTTGTGGGGGGGGGGAACTGCTCCCATGCTATGAAACTCTTCTGCCAAGTAAAGAAAGGATTCACCATTTTGGAACCTTTTTTCATAAGTAATTCCTTTTTTAACTCACCAAACTGCTTCATTCTGCCTGTCTGCACAAGAGAACCATCTAAGCGCCACAGTTCTGACTGTAACAACACGATGCTTTAAGGTCATAATGTTTCAATCTATGTTTTATGCTTATAATAAAACAGACGGAAAGTGGACGGTTGATTTGAAACTGCAGTGGGATACAGAAGTACATAAATAAGACAGAACACCTTGTAAAAAATATTCACAACTCTAACATTTTCACACAACCACAACAACACTCTTCATTATATGTTATCTTGATTCTGTGTTATAGCTCAACACAAAGTCATGTGTAATTGTGGTGTGGAGTAACAGCATGTAATGCATCTATGTTTATCCATGCTGAGTCAACACCATCCAGAAGCACTGTTGGCTGCAGTTACAGCTACGAGTCTTTAGGTCTATATCTATTGCAGATTTTCAGATCTAAACACTGAAATCGTTTTGTCTATTATTCTTAGAGAAAAAAACTCTAGCTCAGTCAGATTAGATCCCGTCCGTAAACATTTTCTTAAGTCTTATTTTAGATCCAGCCTTTAACTGGGTCATTCTAACATGTGAACATACTTTTGATTTAAATCAGTTTATTGCAGCTCTGGCTGCATGTTTAGAGTTAATGTGCAGTTAGAAGATTAACCCCCTTTGAAGTGTCAAGTCTTTAATGGCTTATTTTCTAGCAGAGAAAAAAAAGCTTAGAATGATGGCCATAAAGGTGGTTTTATCACACACAACTAGCCTCCAGTTAGTTGGATGAAAAAAAAAACTAATTGAAAATTTAATTAAAATCTGAGTATCAAAGAAACCAGAGGGCCAAACTGAAACTGCATGTCACAACTCTTAATTATTTTGTGAAAAATTAGAATGAGGGAAGTTCAGATCCGATATCAATATTAGATATTTGACATCAAGTAAAAAAAAATACTAGTGGATTATATCGGCCTGGACCTACAATCTTCTTTACTAGCATGCTAATAAAAACACAAAGCTTCTGTCTAGTTTACTTCTCTAACGTTTCACACTAAAAATTCAGTATTAAAAGTATGTGTGATTCATGCTGAAAGGGTATCGGCTGAATATTGTATTGGTCGGTTCTCAAAGATGCAATATCGGTATCGTATCAGAAATAAAAAGGTTGTATTGGGAGATCCCTACATAACAATATCTTCCACATCAAATTATGAGCTTCATTGTGTTGGACAGAAAATACCAATTAGCTAAATAGATGTTTTGGTTGTTGCTGTTGAGGTTCTAACATGACAAAATAAGCTGAAAACATGTGCTATTATACAGATTCTATCAATGTTTTCCAACCCTACATGAACCAGCACAAAATGCTTTCTCCCTGTAAGTGCTTGTAACACACAAGAAGCCCTTCTACGACTGACTCTGATGACTTCATGCTGCAGAGACAATGCGGCCCCCCTGGCTGGGCTGAATAAGGCCTGTGTGTGAGGTCATCAGACCAAGCCAAGCCTCCCTGGTCGCCACAACCGACCCATCCACACTTAGGCCAACCACTGCCTTAAACGGTCCTGTACCTTACAATGTAAAAAAAAAAAGAAAACAAGAAACTAGTGGACTTATTTAAAGTGCTGAGTAGAAGATGAAAAAAATCTGGAAAGGTGGAAACCAAATGCAAGTCTAAGATCTATCCTCTGGTTTAAGCTTTCACTATGTAAGGAAGACGCATTGGAGGATTCAGTGAAGAACACAGTCCCAAGGCACAGAAAAAGTAGGTTACCCATCTCAAACGGATGCTGCTTAATCTTTGAGTAAATAATAATCCGTAGGCAACATCACATTTTCCAAGGGCTTGTATTTTATAAAAAGTCTTGCGCCTTTTCCTAAGCTTTTCTAATCCTTACCCATACTCCTTTTCTCAGTATCTCCTTGAAAAATAAGGAATTTCTCAAATAGAGTGGCAGCACAGCATTGCCACAGCAACAATAAGATGAGGATGACATCACTCAGCAGTGCTGCATAATTAAACACAAGTGCTAGTCAGAGGATTTACTCTGCTAGGCATAGAAACCGCCTCTCAGTGCATGATGCCGTTCAGGCAATGACACCCTACAAACAGCTCCTTATAATCCAATATAACCACACTTCTTCTGCAACCCTGCGTTTTATACGGTAGACTGAACTATGGTATTTTCCCCATGTTTGATCTAGTTGTGTATTTGAATACTATGCTTACTAAGACACTATAAAAGAACCTAACATGGGATCTCTGTAATAAAAACTTAATAAAATCTCCAATAAATAAAAAAAGATTCTTACAAATGACCCACAAAAAAGATTTAAAATTAAAGTGACCTGACTCACCCCCTTATTTATGAAACACCTTAGACAACCAAGATGACAAACCAGATCTTGGACAGAGAGGACAGATGGTTTAGAAGAGGGGTTAAGGAAGCCATCTTTGTTAAAAGAGAAAAGTCATAGCTAAATAGAGAAATAGATAAATTGTGATTCAAATGGCAAAACTCTTAAGTCAAACAGAATAACAGACTCCAAAGACCCAGGAAAAAGACGAGTTTGTCTTTTGGTTTACATCTGACTTGGAATCTGCTCATTAGGATGGACCTAAAGGTGCTTCAAAACAGCAGCGCTCCAACAACAGGCTCCCCTAGTGCGAGTCACCAGATGACAAAAAAACTGAGTGAAAGTCTGGTTGACTCCTATTTAAGCCTCTTTTTGTTGTCCTAACCTGGATAAGTGAGAATCTGCACAGGCGTACTTGTAAATGCCTTATAACAATAGGAACACTGTGAAAGCAATTTATGTTTGCTGCTTTTATGAGCAATAAAACATGTACTCCGCAGTTCGTGTCTCATGGACAGTCAACAGCAGTCTGAGCAATCTGTTTCTGAAATGAGCAACCAAATGCCAAATGGAAACAAACTAGGAGGTACTGGTAAGACGGCTGGAAAACAGCAACTTTTAGGCTTAAGCAGAAATCACAAATATGAAAGGGAATCCATATAAAATATTTTTATGTTTAGGATTTCGTCCTATTTTTCTTCTTTGTGTAGCTCTGTATCCAAGGACTGATTGCTGCTATCATGCCTGTTTGTCTCAATAACTCCAAATATCACAGATCAGATCATTTCATTAGCAGGTGTATAAATATATTAGGAGAGGGAAAGTTTTTTTAGAGCATTTTACAGCCCTGAGGTCATATCAGTCCTACTTTAAATGCCCAGGACTGCCTGGAGGGTCAATGTCCAATCAGAATTTAAACATGTTTTAAATGTTTATTTTTAAAAGCCAGTTGGAAAATATTGTTTGCATTAAGTTCTTTGGTATTCTTATTTTTAAACTTTGCATGCCAGATATACATTCAATCTCAATACATTAGATGCACACATCTGACACCCATGATTGAGCCAGACATACTACAGTTTGCAGACAGTCGGAAGTATTGTTATTGCAATGCAGTTTCCTTCTATTGTTCACCTCTAATCTTGGAAATGTATTTAGCACAATCTAAGGTAAAGGGGAGAACAGACAGTGTTTTATCCAACTGTTTTACTGCAAGATTATAATCTAGAGTAAATTCAGATTAGGTTGCAGTTATCAGTAATGTATGCTGAATATGTTGGTCAATGGCTGCATGCTGACTGCAGACAAAAAATATCATACTTGCAGTTGTTTTATTTTAAATCTTTTTTTAAATAATGGAGCAGAGCCGATGATCTGGCCTTTTAAAAACAGGGATAAAGTTACTCAATAAGAACTTATTGACTCCTGCTACAGAGCTATCTGGTTTCAACGTTAGCATCAGTAATTATTCTGACCAGCTGTCTTTAGAGCCGTGGAACTGTAAACAAAGGTAGCAGGACAGTTAAATTCTGTTAAATTCAGGAAAACAATGACTAACTAAAGAACTGCAATGCAAATGAAGGACAAAGCAGTTTAATAACGCCAAAGTGAAAGATGTCGAGTCAGAGGGCATGATGTTTTCTCACGCACACAGTTTGGAAAAGGCTGACTACTGAGGAGAACCCCTCTTTAATTCTCAAAAATAAATTCAAACAATTAATAAATTACTAATTTTAAATATTTTCTAGAAAACCTTGTTTTCAGTTGTTGCTTTGTATTTATAACGTTGCACTAGAAAGTAAATAAACCTGCTTACGTTGTTTGTCTTTGCTCAATAGTCTAAGGAGAGTTTGTTTTGCACACTTGATGTGTTCAATATTAACTGAGATCAAAGATAGATGAGAGAAATCAATCTGCTTAGACCTGTTTCCCCTCCTGCTCCAGATGTTTTTCCTTCAGAGAGGTATTCCTTCTCGTAGGAGAAAAACAATGTTTAAAACATGACAGGCCAAGTTGATTATTGACCCATTTCTCACATATCGGTCAGATAAAACTAGAGTGTTGGTGATGTTTAAAAACCCAAAGAAAACAAAGCACGTAGAAACTAGCTGGCTTCAGTATCTCCTCAGGTAGTTAATGGTTACACAGAGTGAAACCGGATTATAGACCAGCAGCATACAATCACTGGCTGCTATCAGCTCTGACCCTGAACAAAGTGACTTGGTTAGAGGAAACACTGTTACCACAGGGCGACTGTTTACTCGCTGGAAGTCATAAGGAGCTCGTTTTGAACTTTCAACTGTTGTTAACAATGCAATGAAAAAAAATGGCAGTAAACTCTCTCTTGGGTAATACAGCAGTGTTTTATGTTAAAAATAAAAGATCAGATTTGAGTCCCCTTCTGCTTTTTAACTGACAACCAAAGATCTGTAATGACCACCTGGAAAAGGAGCCGGTCAGCCACCTACTTAACTTGACAAAGAAAGAAAAAAAGCTGATATAAAATGATTTGCTGTTTGAGAAAAAAGGTACACGGTTTGACAGAGATTAAGGGAACAGGTCCCTTTTGGTGGCTGAATCTTTGACCTAATGACAGCAGTTCAGCGTTTCATAATCTAATCAAATCTGTCAGCGAACGTTGTATTCCAGGATTTAAACCATGAGTGACCTTGTTTTCTGACGGGAAGCTGCTCAGACACAGCCTCAGTTTAGTTGCAGACATTATGTGGGTTTTTTTTTTTTTTTTTTTGTATAATCAGAGCCTCATTTAACCGCTTGTTATCCAGGTTCATCTCTTACCCATTCCTCTACATCTCTGCCTTCCGATGCCCTCCCACCAACGAGAGGCTCTTCCCAGTAGATGTTTGGTTTTCCATAGCGCCAGATCTTCCCTCTTGTTTTCTGAGCAAAGAAAGCAGCAACGCCCAAAGCGATGACCACCAGGAATCCACAAACCATGGCTACTCCCTAAGAAAGCAAGAACACGAGGATCAGATCCAGAAGGTTCTCAGCGTGATAAGCTGAGTCATAAAGCTGATTTATGAACAGACATGTAGTTCCAAGAAACAGCGCAGTCTTTATCATAAAGCGGAATAAACAGCAATAAAAATAAATGTGCTTTCTGAACATTTTTGCTGCTATAAGATTTTAGTTTAATTTTGATATGGTACATGAAAGTCTTTTGATGGGAAAAAGTAATTTTATGGACCATTTCTACTTTGTATAAATTAAAAAGCTGTTTTGTTAAGAGCTATAGAAGCAGATTAAGCAATTCTAAAAAACGAGTGATTAAAGAAATTAGTATCAAGAGGAAAACCACTGACCTCCTGTGGGTCAACAAAACAGTAGTGGTACAGGTACTGGTTGTACACAGGAAAGCCTCCCAGTCCTCCCATCTGTGAGTAGCTGTTCTGATAGAGGCTCTGACACATCATGAGCATCGGATTATACAACATGTTGGAAGAGCTCTGGGCCATGGGGTTTACTCCCACGATGTAGACAATGGTCATGATACCCTGAAAAAAGAGATAAACAGACATACAGTATGTTATCATACTGACAAAGAGGCCCTACTGAGTTATCTGTTCATCATATCAGTGGAATGAACATATGGTGAGAACAAACAGTGCAGGGAAAACCAGATAACTACCTGCTAGAGAATGACAGGGAGAGACATGCATGGATGGATGGATGGATGGATGGATGGATGGATGGATGGATGGATGGATGGATGGATGGATGGATGGATCTTACTGTACATGTGAGTAAGGGCCAAATTGAACCCAGCAAGACAATTTATCTGGCCCTCAAAAGCATAAACTTGCATATCATATCAAAATATTATGTTCTAGAATAATGTAATCAAAAGTTTCTTGGATACAGACCGCAATAAAATGCGAATGCATGTTAGCAGGAAAAAAAAAAGCTAATGTATTAGCATTTTTATTGAGGAGTCAAAAAATGCAGCTTTAGCTTTAAAATAAAAATAAGTTCTGGTAAGAAATGTATATTCTAAAGTTAGATACGTAGATTTAAATACCTTTTTTTAGTTTATTCATGTCAAGACATGACATATTACATGTTATCTTATTTATTATTTAAGTAAGGTAAAATAAAATTTAAAAAGAGAGAGCAGCCTTGGAGGAGAAAATGAAAATGTTTGGATTATCTATTTCTAAATGTATGTATGAATAAAGCAAATGTGGCTTTAACTTGGAAATTTGAAAAAACTTTGAAAGTGTTTTTGTTAATGCATTTTAAATTAGAAATACTTTTTGCTAGGATATTTAAAAATTCAATATTAGACATTCTTTGTATACCATTATAATTAGTTAGCATAATGACTAATGGCATTCTTCTGAGTCTGCAGTTTGTAAAAAAAAATGTAGTTTTGACTTAAAATAGATGTAGTTTTAAAATAAAATCATTGCTGTCAATACATTACACTTTTAAAATGTGACATTTTAAAATGACTTTTTGTCCCTTTTTGCTTGAACATCTTTTGAATTAAATATTTATTAATGAATCAGTTTACAAAAGGAGATCTCAAAGAGGCAGATGAAAATGCAGTTTGAATGATCTACTTCTAATTCTATTATTAAGTTGCATTAATGCATTTTCATTAGACGACTGTGTCCTATTTACTTCCATACAATAGAAAGTTAAAAAATGAAATATTCGGTAACCTCAATAGTCTCTTACAGTATACACATACACACAAGAGGGGCAACATCTCCTCTGTTTTCCCCTTTTCCTAGCTGTAGGATGTATTTTGTTTGCAGCTGCAGCAAACCCACTTGTTTCTGTAGATCAATCCAGAACAACAGCTAGAAAAAACTTTCAAAACTGTCTATTTAAATAATCACACACCACCTGACCTGTCTTTTCAAAGCGCAGACATATCTGTTGATGACTAACTGTGGTGATGTTTGCTGCTGCACCTTAATCTGTGGCATCAGAAGGTGGGTCTCACATGTTCCCAAAGTGAAATGAATTTTTTTGTCTCAAATTAGATGAAGAGTGAAGATAAATGTGTGTGCAAAAAAAACTCACAGAGGGAGAAATACCTCCTACCAAGTTTTGCTTGGGTAATGACAAACCAGGAAAGGATGAAGCCCTGCTAAGAGCTCATGCTGTATGATTACTACAGGTTTAAGAAATAATGAAATTACAATATTTTGTTATTGATAATTCATCAGTGCATGATATTCATATTAATGTCTGCCTCAACTTGCAAAATCAAATCACCATTTAAAATCAAAGTTTAAATTTGCACAAAAAACACTATTTCAGGAACTTAGACTCAACTTTATTTAGGAAATTCTGGTTCCTGTAGCCCGGCTCAGAGTGGGAATGATTTTTAGGCCCTGGCATTTTTCCATCTACACTGGCCCACTTCCCCAGTGTGTTTACTACAGTACATAAAACAGATTAACATCTCAGGGAGTTTTTAATCTATTTCAATAGAACAGCATTGCTTTCTCTAAAGCATCAGTGAGCAACAGGTAAACACGTCAGCCTCAACACCACTTACACATCTCAACTATAGCTATATAATCTGTAAATCTTTTATCTATTATCTGTCATTATTTATCCTGTATTATAACCCTTCTAATACATATATAATCCAAATCCTAACTTTCCTGTATAATCTGTATCTCCCATATATATTTATTTGTTTATTTTATAGCCTCTTACAATTAATTTCTGTTTATATATACAATTTGAGTCCATGCATACATAGTCTCTGAACACATGTAACTAAATATTTATATCCTGTATAGCACTTCTGGATAGATGCAAACTACATTTCATTGCTTTGTACTGTGACAGTGTAATGACAATAAAGTTGAATTCTATTCTATTCTATTCTCACATCTACCCTGCCCCTTTTTAAACCTCTAAGTATTTATCACATCAGTAAGTATACAGTGTTAACGGCATAAATGGTTTTTGAATTACAAAAATATTTGATTGTTACCTGCAGGACACCTAAGAGAACGCTGGTTATGAGGACGGCCAGGAAGAACTTCCGGCTGCGGACGACACTGGATTTAGAGAAGCTGGCGATGAAGAACGATAAACATCCAACAAAGTTAATCGCCGCCATGGCGATCATGGCAGTTTTGGCCGAGTAAGGCGAAACATTGGAGCCATAGTAGTTTCCATAGCCCCCATAACCTCCACCATAACCTGAGCCATAGCTTCCCCCATAGCTGCTGCCGTAGCCCATTCCAGAGCCGTAGTAACCCCCTCCCGCTCCATATCCATACTGGTATTCCCACATAAGTGTTGAAGCAACGCAGGCAAATATGGCCAGACACAACACAATGACCGTGGCCATCATAATCTTGATGATCCCAGGGGGGGACTGCCATTTGTAGAAGTGCTGAGGCCTGTCTTCGATGTAGTAAGACCCCGGCGGCGGTGGGTATGCGTTGTAATCACTCTGAGGGCCTTGGAAGCTGCCAACAGGACCGAAGCCATTGTTGGACGGAGCAGAGAAAGGTGGGCTGTAGACTGGCGGGCTGTCGTAGTGTTGCTTGTCAAACATCGCTGGAGATGTCCAGAACTGGAAACAGAAACGCAAAATCAGAGAGCTGTAAAAACAAAAAAAACTTAGATCGAAACGGTGTAGAGTTTCTCCTCACTGATTCCTAGCAAAACTGAACTGAACAATGCGACGTGGAAAGATCAGGGCAGGTTAGGCGTGCCCTCCAGCGATAATGAGGCTTAGTAACAGAACAGTGTAAATGTTTTACTATCTGAAAGCAGGTGTGACCTGGGGGCATAAAAACCTGGCTTGTTGTTTCCTTTTTTTCATCAAGTGTTGCTCAAATTACAGCTTCATGGAAAAATATCCAAACTCTGAAGATAAATGCAATGTATTGTTTTTATTCAATAGAGCAACAAAACAGAGAGGAACGAAAATGAGCATTAGTGTTCAACATTTTATAAAAAAGTATGAAAAGAGTCACATTAGTGTCAGAAACAACATTACATGAAGAACATTTGTAGTCAAGCTTCATGTATAAACTGAACTGGAGTATAAGTAAAGCAAAATGTGCAATAAACCACAGAGACTTCAGACAGGCCTGGAAAGGATTAGGATTTTAAGGACATTCTTCTGTGTGTGGGGTAGACAACAAAAAACGGAAAATGAAATCTTCTCCTACAGGAGACATAGTTAACCCACAGTTATAATGAAAGGGATTGGATCAGAGTATATTCAGGTGGAAGACGGACTCAATCAAAGTAAAGACCTTAGATTCAAGGATCAGGGCCAAATATATAAAAACTGTTCATAGAGGAATAAACCCATCTATCATTTAGTTTCACCGACATCATGATTATCCTGGTTAATCACATAAAAAACAACAAAACTCACTACGATTTATGACCTTATTGTAACCAAATGTGTTTTTATTCAACATTAATATATTTTTTAAAACGTATGATTTTATAGAATATAAATAATAAAGAAATTACTTGAGATTGGAGACATCTGAACCAGCTAAGGCCCAGTAAGCAGTGGAGATGTTGGTACCAGGACAGAAAAACAATCCTTTCCTTTTTGCTGCTTCACAGGCTGTAGGAGTGTCTCCAACCCCCACAAGGAAAAGGATTTTCAATATTTCACGTCTAGTCAAGCAGCTAAGATGTTTTGCTACAAATCTTACAGTGATATGCAAGGCCCCTGTGTATGGTTTAACAATGCCTATTCTTCTGCACAGAGCCCTGCAGGGAGGGGGTCAGGAAACCTGGATGACTGGGAAGTCATGTGAAAAGCAGAACAAAGTAAACGTTACAAATAAAAACATCTGCTTTTATCCTTTTTCTCCAATTCATAAGAAAACTAAGTTTGTTTGTTTAATTCTTTTCCAAGGCTGACAAAGTATCGGTGTTAGAAAGCCCTGTGAATAATTTAAGCGTCGAGGGTCACATGTTTAAAGTATTTCTCCATTTATCTGACTGATAGCAGGAAAGTCAGATACTTTGTTTGCATTTGTATAAAAGATAAGATTAAAGAAAAGTAATAATCAGCATTCTTTCTGAGAAGCAAAGAAAGTAAAGTTTTAGCAATTTTCTTTGACATATTCAACCAGACTAGATATTTCTGTTTTAATCCATAGCAGCACCAGGGCTCAGTGGATATCTAATGATGGTAACAGTACATCCATCTCAGTTTGTATGTTTAACCCTTTAAAGCCTGATCCAAGAATAAAACAAAACAGAAAATGACTTTTTTTTGGTTTGAATTCCTTATTTGCCCTTTTAACAAAATATGTAAAAAGAAAAAACAGAAATACATTTTTGACATTAATAATTTATTACTATGCGATAAGTCAAGATTATTTTTTGTGTAGTCTTCTACTGGCTGTTATCAGGTATATCTGAATGTGTACAATAGGATTTTGAGCAAAGTTTTTACGATTAAATTATGCAAAAGCTGTCAGATTCAAAACATTTCAGAAACCTTATGTATCAAATACGATACATTTGGCATTATAGGGTTAAAACGATTTAACTTCTTATGAGTTTATTAAAGAAATCAGAGAAAACCAAAGACAAATTCAGCAGCTGCTAAAATAAATAAATATTTAAACGTTAAACTGGTATTGTTTTTAGGGCTGAAATCTACTATGTACATATAAGTAAAATACATTGAATCTAAAATATTTCATATAAGTTGTACGTTTTTCTCCCCAAAAAATCTCCCCTCTGTTCATGAGGTAGGATTAAAGTAGCAGACACAACTAAAACACACTTATTACTCATTTCATTTAGGTATTTATTACGGCTGCATTTACAAATCAATAAAGCTACATAAACTTTAAACAAAAGCAGATAGAAGCACATTTTAAAGGAAGACCGATTCATTCCAACATAGATTTTTTGGCTGATATCTGATCGATTTCCAATATCGGATTGGGACATCCCGAAGTTTCAAAGGAAAAAAATACAAATAAAACGGTTTCAACCAAGTATTCAATACAGTCATTGGTGACATTCAAGCTTTGCAAAAGTGATTTCACATGGCAAGAGCACCCTGGTGATGATATAGTCCCTGAAACAAGATGGAGACTCTGATGAGGATGAAGGGAAACAAACAACAGGCTAAGTCACTATTAACGAAACTAGAGATGTCCCAACTAGATCTGCAGCTGATGATTATTTTAAAAATCGAATAATCTGTTGATTATTTTTTGGATTGATCGATTAATAATCGTATAGCCAAAGGTTCCTTAAAGAAGATTTTTATTAAATTTAACGAGCTGAAACTTAAACTTTTCCACTTGAGGAGTTCTGGATAGAGCATAGTGACAGAAGAAAATGTTTTTTTAAACTTAAATGCTTACTTAAACTTAAGAATTTGTTTTTACAATTTTGATATATTACTGCTCTAATTGCTTTGCTTTGTCAGCTAAAAGCATGCTTTACAGTCTCTATACTCCAGTTTATGATTAATCCATAAGTGAATTAGTCGATATTAGTTGATATATTGGGCAGCTCAGTGGTAGAGTGGGTAGAACTGCTGCCTTGCAGAAAGAAGGTTCTGGGTTCGGTTCCTAGCTTGGGATCTTTCTGCATGGAGTTTGCATGTTCTCTCTGGGTACTCTGGCTTCCTCCCACAGTCCAAACCATTAGCTTAATGGGCTTCTCTAAGTTCTGCTTAGGTGTGAATGGTTGTTTGTCTGTGTCTCCCTCTTATGGACTGGTGATCCGTCCAGGGTGTACCCTGCCTCTCATGACCCTGCTTGGGATAAGCCTGAAAAAAAAATGGATGGATGGATAAATTAGTTGATGATTATTTATATTTTTTTTATAGTTTCAGCCCCAGTCCCAAACCAGTATCAATACAGAAAATTGGTCCACCATAAACCAAAAAAATGAATATTGGAAAATATCAGCCTGCATCTAATATCCTCAATAGGAGCACACTGATGGAAACGCTGCAATCCGTCATTTCTATCCGGCACAGAGCCAGAGTAGCAAAAGCTATGCTACTGGAGTAGGCGCTATGTCGGCAGTGTGGTTTGTTACAGGGCAAAATGTAAATTGTCTTATTTCTCACAAAAGTGGACACCCAAAGGAGAAACACATAAGGTAATAATTGCTAAACACCCTTAACTCTTCTTAGATAAACTACAAACAGTTGAAGAATATATAACCAACCCTGGAAGAAAAATATCTGTATGGTTATGTAGCCTGTAGTATTTACATAAAATGTAGCTTGTGCTGAAACTGTCTTGAGGGCTGATGGTCTATTTGGTTGTAGGGTAAATGGTTAAAAAAAAAGGTAAAATGGTCTGTACTTATATAGTGCTTTTTTAAGAAAGGGAACTTGACCAAAGCTCTTTAAACTACATTCAGTCATTCACAGATTGATGGTGGCAAACTACTACTACACTCCATTGTAGCCACAGCTGCCCTGGGGCTCACTAACAGAAGCGAGGCTGCCGTACACTGGCGCCACCAGGCCCTCTGACCATCATCAGTAGACAATGCAGGTGAAGTGTCTTACCCAAAGACACAAAAACACTGAAAGGCGGAGCCTGGGCTTGAACCGACAACCCTCCTGTTGCAGGGAAAACTCCTTTATTCGACCCCGCTGTTGCCCAGGGATGTCTTTGGTTTGGTTGTTCAGTTGAGCCCAGTTTTTTCCTCTAGTGCGTCAGTGTGATGCACCCAGACACCATTTGATAAAACACTTTTCCAGGTCCACTTTTATTTTTCAAATCACTGTTCTGATAAAATATTGACTATTAAACGACTGACCAACAATCTGATCAATAGACAGTTTTCATGTGAAGCATGATTATTTATTTCTGAACAAGATCAGAACAGAACATTAATCGCACTTATTTGTTCTGTTGGTTTGAATGTTGTATTTCAGAATAAAAGCTGTTTTTCTCATAATTAATCCAAAGAAATAACCTTAATTTGTAATTAAAATACATGTTAATTTGAGTGCCAAAGTGTCTCCTTTAATCAATCTAACTGTATTTGTTACAGAAAGTCCTCCTAACAAATACGCTTTGCTGACAGGCTGGTGTCTCTGCAGAACATTTCTAAGGGGACCAGAAGCAACATGGCGACACATTCAGAGCTTCTAACATAAAGGCAGACGTACAGCCTCTGGCCCCCCTCAAAGTTTCATAACTCTTCTTCTTTATAGGACTAGGAGACACCCAGCAGAGGAGGTCTCGCCTCAGAGCCTTCAACCTTCCCATTATAAGCCCGCTTCATTCCTGCATCCCCAGCTCTCCTCCCCCTCCCACCATAACTTATTTGCTTTGTTTCCTGAGCAGGAGGGCAAAACGTCAAGACTGCTCGTCACACAAACAGTGTTGCCATGGAGTCAGAGTTTTAAAAAAGAAAATTGGGGCACTGTCCAGGAGTCAAACAAGGGCTCCTCTGTGCAACTCTTGTGGGGGGAGGTTGAGGTGAAACAGAGATAGAGAGAACAGAGGACAGGTGAATAAGCATTCCAGTTTCAGGGGATCTTTGTTGTTCAACAGTTAGTCTTGCATGAGTTTGCATGCTCTGATTAGGAGAGTTTGGATCTATAATTAACTAGCAGGAATTCATCTAAGATATTTAAAGGTTTTGATACTCAGCTTAGACCCTCTGTCACATTAAAACATCTACTAAAATCTGGAAGAAATATCTCTAAACAATTTGAGAAAATAATGAATTCTCAACTTCAAATTCAATTTATTCTTCTTTTCAAGGAAGTGTAGTTATCAAAAGCTGTGCTCAAGTTTATCCTCTATGTTTGCTGACTTTAGTTTTGTGTCATTGATTTATCAAAACTACACAGAAGTCTTTAAAAGCTTTTCTTTGGTAAAGAATCAAGAAGGTGTTATACAGTTAAAACTGTTGAAATTTTACTGAGGAAAAAGACATGTTGACTTTAGGGAACTTTAAATTTAAATCCAAACTGTTTCCAAATGCAGCTTGATCAGTGACAGATGGGACCGAACTCTTTAAGAATAAAGCTGCTTAAAGTTTCTGTTTAAAGTAGGGCTGCAACTAACGATTATTTTGCAAATTGATGAATATGTTGAACATTTTTCCCTTTAACCGTTTTAGAATTGGAAAGCAAAAAGTTCCTTAAAGAAGAGTTTTTAAAAAATAAACGAGGTGAAACTAAAACTTTTTATTTATTTTTTTTTACAATTTTGCTAGAACTACTGCTCTAAGTGGGTCGCTCTGTCAGCTAAAGGCATGTTTTAGATTCTCTAAACTCCAGTTAACAATTAATCAATTACTGAATTAGTTGAGGATTGTTTCAATAATCGATTAATCACAATTAATCCGATTAATTGTTTCCCTTCCTAATGTAAAGGTGTCGTCTGAATCAACGCCTCTGAAGAAAACACACTATCCTCTATAAGGTTTCAACTGGCTTTGTGCTGTTCTTTCATTCTTTCAAAGAACAAAGTGAAGCTGAAAAATTATTTTAAAAAGGTTTTCATCCCTCAGTAACAGCTTCCAGACAGATGAATGTGGGCCACATTTACTGATCAGATAGCAAAATGTATTTTTAGTTTCCATTTCTTGATGCATCTGTTGTTCAATGATTAAGCAGCTGATCATTTTTAGATCAGTCACATGTTTCAACAAGAGTACACCTTTAATTTTTGGCCAATTATTAATGAATTATTGGCCAATAATTACAATTACAAAAAATTTGGTTAAAAAACAAAACAGTCAACCATTGCAATCATAAATATCGTCAAACCTTGTTGAGCTGTTTCAGTATCTTTCAAAGCATCTCCACCTAAAATGTCATATTTATCTTTAAAGTAAAAACCCTGAATATATCATAGAGGGCTTTAACTCATTAGTAGCAATAGAGTACTAGTATTAGGACTACTTATGTGTAAAGGTATTTATCTAATGCTCCCATGTTGTTGTTGTTTTGTTTTGCTTCAGTAGGGGAAAACACTGAGTTTGGACCATGGTGATTGGTCAGGTCAAACACCCACCAGCAGAAGCATGAACTCCACTGCAACACAGAGACTCTATGATTTGGCTCTGATGAAGGAATTCCAGTTATACAGTCACATGCCGTACATCTGTCAAAAATAATTAGGCTACAGAGAAAACGTAGGCAGGGTCCCACTGACATTCACCCAGGAGTCAGCCAAAGCTTGCTGTACAAGTGCAAAACAACATGGCTCTGAAAAAAAAAAAATCTCCTGGGGCAGAAAAATCTGATCAGATCGGACAGAAAAACAGAAAACAAGATTGTATAAATTCCTGTGTTATGTGTTTAAGAAAAGCACTTTTTACTTTTTTGACTATGGAGCTAATTTGGTGCCATAATGTTTGTTCCAAAGGGGAAAAAAATGAAACAAAAAACGTTTTGCAACAGACGATAAAAAATTTTGAAATTAATAATAAAAAATAAAAAAAAAACTGAGAAAAGTTTTGGAACCAAAAAATATATACTTTTCAGTTTGGAGGGTTTGTATAACTGGAATTCCTTCATCAGAGCCTGATCTTTTTTTTTTTTTTGCAGTTTCAGATTTGATTCTTTCTAAAACGTTCACTTACATTTAGAATATATATATATAGATATTTCCAGCTCTCACATCCCTGAATGCAACAGCTGGAAATATGTGTTTAGCCTGTGTTGAGCTGTCAGTCATGATGTGTTGAGCTGTGATGTGAGGCTCCGCCCCTTACACCAAAACAGGGTGAGAAGTTTGAAGCAGAAAAAATTTATTTAAATAACTTCTTCATGTTCCCCTTTTTTTTTTTCATTTGCAAATTCTTTTTACAGTTTACACATTTGATTTTGTTCGTTTTTCAGTTTTTCTTTTTCAGGTTCCATTTTTTTTTTCTTTTGAACAAACTTTATGGCCCCATTTTAGTCCCATATTTGACTTAATTAGTATACTGCCAAGCTGAAATACTTTAAAGTCTTTAAGACCAAAGAGATTTTCTAAACTGGTTGATTGGGCAGCTGAAGCAATAATAAAGTGGGAAAACAGCAGGAAAAACTGAATTATATATCTATGAAGCATCAGATACTAACATGATCAGGCCACAAAATTATTATATGAATAACAATACCAATTTCATAATATTTACAACTTTTAAAACATTAAAACTATGCAATTGCTTTTATTTGAAACTGTTGTAAAAAGGATAAACTTTTTAAATAATGATGATTATAATCTCTTTCAGTTGTCTGGATTCTAAGAGCTGGGAAATAATCTGTCAATATTTTATAAGCAAAATATATTTTTTTTCTGTGCTTTCTTTATAGAGCAACACCAATAGTACAACAGTGTAGGAACAAAAATATTTTTGTTTATTTGTCTTTACTTTAAGAGGGGAGGTCCCTATTGCACTTTCTTTGCCATTCCATTGAACACACATTAGGAGTGGTATAACAGAAAACAGGCGTCTTTAAACCATAAACATTAAACTGCTATTACTAATAGCAGTTTAATTAATTATAAAACTATTAATTACGCATTCCTGCACCAATTAAGCGACATTATAGTTAAAAAAAGGATCAAAATGAGACAAATTACCTCAAACCTGAGAAAATTATAATAGAATAATTTTCTAGTTTACCTCGTTTTGTTTGATTTACACAGATTGTTAAATTAGATCAACTGATGCAGGTCGATTTTAAATATAGGGACTAAAACATAAAACATGTCCCCTGACTGACTGACTGACTGACTGATCCACCTGTTCAAATAACACATCTGACCCCAACATACCGTTAAAGTATTTAAATGGTTTCAGATAAAAATAGAAACGTAATATTACCATAAAGGTAAATTAACCTTATGGAAATAAAGAATTTGTTTTATCCAACATTTGGTCCTCTTACCTGGAGTGGAGCCTCGGTCAGTTGTGTCCCTTTGTGTTCTCACTTAAAATCCTTTCCTCAAGTCAAAGTTTTAGGCGAATTTGTGAGATATTGGTCTCTCAGCACATTGACTTGTTTTTTTTTTTTATGTATGTGTTATTCAGATTCTATTTGAGTTTTTAAAAAGTCTTTTTTCTTCGTTTGAAGCGTCAGTCCTGGAGAAACTAAACGGTTTTTCCAGCTGCAGCCTCTGAACAAGCGCTCTGCTCTCAGACCCGCCTCTCCGCACACCTCTGCACCTCCGCCTTTTCACCGCTAGAGGTCAGGATTTTACTGATAGCAATAAATAAATAAATAAATAAAATTTCCCTGTTTATTCACTGATTACTTTTATCCCCATGACAAAGAGATACAAAGTTTTTATCTCCCAACAAGGTTCTTGAGTAACAAACAACGGAATTACAAATGTGTTTAAAAAGAAAATAGCTAAGCAGTGGATTCCTGCTCAGTTTTAGAGTTTAGTCACCATGCAGCCCAGACTTTGGTCTCACAGAAAGAAAGTTCATGGGTCAATTTCCAGCTCTGCTCGTTCTGCAAAGAGTTTGCATGTGCAATACACTGTTTCTCTCTTAGTTATCTAGGCCTTTTTCTCTCACAGGCTACAGCTGGTTGCTTTGCATTACCTTGTGCCATTAATTGTCTCAGAAATGTCCCAGGATGGAATTGTAGAAATTGAAGAATCACCTTAAATGTGAACAATGAAAGGATAAAAAGTGGCTAATTTTAAAGTTTAACTTTACTTTAAAAGAAAAAAAAAATATGGAGGAAAAAACTTGGATTTGCATGTATTTGCTTGCATGCTCTAAGTAAGTTTGCACACAATGCAGAAGGTAGTTTCATCTACTTCCCTTCACAGAAACTTAAAAAAACCTTGCAAGCCAACTACTTGGTAATTCAAAGTTTTAAAGGTGTGAGGTCTGATGAAGCAGTCCATTCCCAATTCTTTCTTGTATTTTTGAGCTACTGTTTAGCTAGAAAACCTGTCCAGTACCAATCTTTACTATTCTGTTTTGAAAAATACATTTAACAGAATATTCAATTATTTTCTGCCCTCTAAATGTAGTGAGGCATTTCTGTATCCCTAGCACAAAAAGCAAAAAGCGGCATTGAACATTTTAAAAAGCTGGTTTGAAGGTGCTAGCAGATGTTTTAATATTAAATAGGGGGCTGAGGTGCTGGGAATTAAGATTTAACATGTTTAACCTGTTACACCAAGAGGTTTTCAGATCTAATTTCCACCTGAAAATATAGAAAAAACAAATAAAAAATAAGTCCACAGTTTAAAGGTGTGAATAGAAAGTTTTAACAGCTGCATAGAGGTAACATAAATTGTTGGGGGTTTGTTTCTACATTAAGGAATCTTATAGCGGTTATTCATTTGAGATAAAACAAAGTAATTCTTACATGTTTAAACTGCCAGGGTCAGCAAAGAATCCAACGACCTCCCTGCAGTATCTTTAAAGAGCTTTTGAAGACCTCTGGTATAGATTACTGTCTCTGAGCTCAGTCAGACTGAATTGGTAAGCAGCAGAGCATCACTTTTTAAGTCTTTCAACAGATTTTCTGTTAAATTACGGCTTAGTAAGTCCAATTACACAGTTCATTGTCCAAATGGCTGGGAAGCCCTCTCAGATCCCCTCTTGTAGAAAGTTTGCTTAGCAAGCTGGCCAATGCCAAAGGTATTACCTCTCATATATGCAAAATGTTAGTTATTCAATTGGGCGACCCATTATCAAAGATTAAAAAACACTAGACTGAAGACACGACCCTGGGCGTCTCTGAGGGTGATTAGCACTCAGGTTTAGGTAATGTAAACACAACATATAAAGAAATGAGTAACAAGTTTATTCAATTAAACATAACTGACAGATGGCGTGGAAGCTCTCAACAGCTTCATAAATTGCATTTGATTCCTAAAGACACTTGCTGGAGATGTAATGAGGAGGAAGCATCTATTCTACATATTCTCTGGACCTGACCTGCTCTTCAAGAATGTTGGAAGAGCATTATGGAAGTCATTTTTTTTAAATATTGGAAAGAAGGTTTAATATCACAGCCAAGCTCACAGTTTTAGGCTCCACAGTATAACTCCCAGACTCACAGTTCTCATCTTTTGAATAAGAGATGGCTTGTTCTTGCTCTGACTACAGCAGAAAGGATTCTATAAAGGATGAAGAAAAATCATCCTCCTTATGATGAATGACGAATGGCTGACAACTATTATTAAATTGGCCTCTTACGAGAAAGTGACGTATGGCCTCCTATGTAAAAAAAAAAATCAGTTTGATTGTACATGGTCCGCTTTTACCAAATGGATAACTGTAAAGTAGATTTGGACATGTTGGTGTGGCACATTGAAATATTTGTTGTATGTTCTACAAAACAAAAAACTCAATAAAATTTGCATTATTAAACAAATTGGGGCTTGGTCTTTGACTAGGCCATTCTAAAACATTGATCTAAACTGCACATTTTACCAGCTTTCCTGTTCCTGATTTTTAAAAGGATTCCCAGAGACTGATTCAGCTCCTAAGTCTCATAGGAGGAAAGTTGTGTTCAAGATGATATGCAGCATTTCTGCCACTCAGGAGTTATCGTGCATTAGCCAAAACCAGCTCAGAGCATCTTCTTTATTCATATATTCTGAACAAAGGAAGCTCAGCATGTCTTGTTTATTCATTTTGTCTGAGGTAACAACAATAAATGAAATAATAAATATGTCATCAGTTGCCTTATCCTCATATAACTGCAAATAATTTCACTTTGGTTTAATTTTAATAAGATTAAGCTTGATTTTGTCATCAAAATAACATTGTTTATAGAGTTTGTAGGCCTTTAGACAGACAGACTTTAGAAAGGTATTTTGTGAAGTTCTAGGGCAAAGCTGCCATCTAGTGGATGACTGACGAGCAGTTACTGATTATATATTAAACTATAAACTTCAAATCTGGTTTTAAGCTGGTGGTATGATTAAAAGGTTATTTAAATATTGTAGAAAACAAGTTCTATTAAGTAAGTAATTTGTTAGTGATGTATTGAATACTGATATAGAAAAGACGTTAAGCCAAACATCTGAATGTTTTTTAAAATTAATTCTATCCTTCGAAAACATTGCTTAAGAAAGCAGATCATGATCATTTCGTTGATATTTGCTTTGTTTAAAAGCACAAAATCAATAAAGAGGAGCAAAAATAGGTCATTTTAAGATAAACACTTAAAATGTGTCAAATTTTTGTAATTCAGGTCAGACAGGCATTCCAACCTATGTGCAAAGGATGTAGAGAAACAAAATCCAGAGAACCTTCTGTTCTAATCGCAACAAAAGGTACTTCTAAAATAAAACTATTCAGTCTGTGCTGAAAACATATTTTAAATTTTTAAATTAAAACAAAAGAAGTAAACCTTGTAGGAATTTTCTCACACTTTGATACTGCAAACACTCTTCCTATTATTTGTTGGTTAAACATAATTCAGAGGTTCTTTGCATAACAGGCAGGTAAAATGTTCAAGAGCTGTGAGATTATTTGTCAACACTGGAAAAAATCCATATCTAGATAAGTCATTTTTTCTTAAAATAAGTGCATTTGTTGTTGGATTGAGGAGATAAAAGAGAAATTTTGCCAATGGATCAACAAAATGTACACTTAAAGTAAGAAAACACAACTGCATTGAGATTTAAAAAACAAAAAAAAAAAAAAAACAAAAAACAACAAAAAAAACAGGACAATTTATGTTTACCACTAAAAAAACTAAACCATAGAGTAGGTGCTCTGGTCAAATACGCTGAAAATACAATTATTCAACCAAGAAGCAAAAACTGCAGGACCTCACCCCTGATCAGACTAGATACACCTTGAAAAACACAAGTTATGGCTGCATCATTATGTGGGGGTCCGTCTCTTAAGCAGGCATGAAGAAGCTGTTCCTAGTTGAAGTGCAGATATTTTGGAGATTAATGGAGGAACCTCTTGGGGAAAAGGCGTATAGAGGAGCGGAGGTTCACCTTTTGACAGGCAACCAACACTAAAAAGCAGTCTAGACATTGGAAAATTCAGTCTAGATGTGTAAACATGGTAGAAATGTACCAAATTTTATGCACATTATTTTGCTACTTTTCCCTGGTTTATCTCATAAACCCTTAAAAAAATACTTTAGTTTGTGGGAGTTATATGAAAAGTTGCAAGGCTTATAAATAGTTCAAGTCATATTCTGGGGCCTAGCAAAGTGGACAGATTTTGACCTTTGGTACTTAGAATTGTTTTAAAAGGGAAACTAAACCAACTTTTCAAAAGCAACCATTGGATGTAGATCAATCTATTTTTGGACCTCTTCTTCTTATGATTATTAGGGGTTTTTTCCTCTGTATTTATAGACTCTAAACAGCACCATCATCTTGATTATCTTACTTTCTGGATGAGACGGCAGGTTTCCCCTCTTCCGTTTACATGTGTTTAACCAAGAGCCACAAAGATGCAGGTCGACGATGCAGAGTGGAGGTGGACAAAGATCTGCATGGTTTGTGCAGGAAACATCCTGCTGCCTAATAGAAACCCCCACTGGCTGATAGAGAGCAACCAGCAGGGACAAACTGCTCCATGAAGGACTCCTGTGATAAAACTTCCTTTATTCACAATTAGAGATCTGTCGTTGTCATATTTACAAATACATGTTGCAAATAGTTACACCAAGAGACGTAGAGCAGAAGCACAGTTCAACACTGGTCTGAGCATCTCCAGAACCTCTCTCCCCATATTAGAAATCACATAATAAACGCAGTGTAATGGATTATAACAAGCTGGAGCTCCCCACTGGTCACAGGGACCAGTTTAGTTTTCAGTGGAATACTTCGACGAGCCAACAAGTGCTCCCTGCTGTTAATGATGCAGATGGATCCACATGTAAGGGTGAACAATCATCAGATAAAGCAAGCCATTAGGGTCAAATATTTGGCACTTTCTCAACTGGCCTTGTGAATAAGCTACAAAAAATAATTTAATGGGTGAGCATGGTGTATGGAACAAATCCATAGTGCCAAAGGGTGGAGGGGGTCCAGCTACTCAATAATAAATGCATGTTTCTGAATGTCAGATAAGGTGGTATTTAATGACTGGGTAACATTTTTATTTCTGACGCTCAGAAAAAAAGTCACAGGCATAAAACAGCATTCTAGCGTAGCATTTGTCAACCCAGGGTGATTTTTACATTTTTTTACTAAACTTGTTGAAAAAGTGAAGATATTTGACCCTCTTGGCTTGCCGTTATCAGAACATTTGAATATGCGTTTGGGTTAATATGCAGCAGCAAACGTATAACTCTGCAGCGTTCACGCCTCGCACTGCATTTCTAAATTAGGTCATGGCTATGAGAGGCATCCAAGAACTTTATGGGGTTACACAACTGCCTCGTCTTTACTTTTCTCAATCCTCTAAAACCTGCTTAGAGGAACAAATGATCAGTTCTCTAACAAAAAAAACAAAAAAAAGAAACTACCGGATTCACATGTGAAGGTAAAAATGAATAAAATTGGGCTAAATTTCTGTAAAAAGCAAGAAGTGTGAAAAATCTTTAGATCAAGAATTGGTGTAATTCCCCTCTTCACTTCTTATAGGTCTAAAACGCGATGTCACACCTCCGACTGTGTCCTCAAAAAATGCTTTCATTTAAAGTTCTAACTTGTCTGTGGCGGGTTTCATGCGCTGCCGTTCATCTCTTCCTGTTCTTGGAGGGAAACACAGGACAGATGATACAAAAAATTGTTACCGATCTGCGTCTGGACAAATTAAAAACATGTTACATTTAGGTGTCTTCATGGTCTGAAGATGTGGATTTGTTGTGTTCATCAATGGTGCTCTAGTGCTTTTGCAGTCAATACTTAGACTTGAACGGAGATTTAATCTATCGGCCGTAAATAGGACAACTTTCTCTTGATGTCTAATCTGGGGTTTAAATGGTGTTAAGGCCAATCAAGAAAATGTATATGCTGTAATCAATTTTTGGTCTATTAGTGCAACAACCTACTGATGGTTCTTTTTCAGTGTGAAATTCAACATAAATATCAAGTTGGAGACTTGGGCTTTGAAGCATAAACTTAGATAACCTTGTAATTACTCAATTTTGCCTTTCAATCCAATTCAACATAACTGCATTCTTTTAGAAAATATTTCCTGTTTGATCATCTTTAGAGGAAAAAAGCAACAACAAAAAAAAAAAAATCATCGGAATCAGTCAAATCTGAAATTGGCAGGTCTGACCTCTGAATAAGAAATTTATCAGCCAGGAAATCCATGTTTGGTGCATCTCTATTCATCTGTCCAGTCGGGCTTAGATGCCTCCTGCTTTGGAATTAAATTTCAACAATTTAACACATGAAAACAAAAATGTGCTTTGTAAAGAAACAATAAAGCCATCTTAACCTAAATTCTGTTAACAAAAAAACGGCCATACATTGAAGGAGAGGGGATTTAAGATGGCAGAAAAGCTCCGATAACTTAAGATATTTAGGAGGTATTAGAGATCATGGAGCAGGGGCCCAACAGACATGATGAAGGAAAACAAGAAGACATCATATGAGGTACATAAAACTACATCGACTTAAAAGGAGAGAGTAGTTTTACTGGTCTTGTACAATTTTAACAAAAAACAGGATTCCAGCGATTCCAGAATAACGTGATATAAACGAACCACACTCATCTGTCTTCTTCTCGTCCAATTGGAATAAAACGGATTCGGCCATATTTGGTTATTCTGTCCTGGGTTAGATATCAGCAACAACCACACAAACGCTGACGCAGAGCCCTCTGTGAGCGCCGTCCTGTGCAGATGAGGGTCAAATGGAGCTGTGTCAGTGCGGAGAGGGATGTGTGCACTCATTTTACAGATTTGCTTACAGGAACTTCCGGATTAACGATCGCCAGTGTGCGTCCTCACAAATACACAAGGACAGACATTAATCCACTGAACATTTGGGGTCAGATTAGATAAAATTTCATTGTGAGACACTCGGTTGAGCTTTAAACATTTGACTTAAAAAAGGCACAAACTACAATTTTCTGGTAAATTATTTAGATGTAAAATAAAAATCAAAACTTTTTCCTTCTTTTTTTTCTTTGTAAATCAACATTTTTCAGCCATAAACGTAGATATAATCACCGACTCTTCCTAGACAAGTCGTTATTTCCTCAATTGTTCAAAACCTAAGGTTTTTCCACCGAAATTGTTTTCTTTCCCCAAAGTGCAATAAAAATAAGAGAGCTTAATATCTTCTTTCACTCATTCTTCCACAGTACCTGAGGCCAGTGACTGTGCTACAAAGACCACGTTAAAGGATGTAAAGAAAACCGGGGAGGAAAGAACTGAACTCCAGAATACGACAACATGAAAACAAGCTTAGAATGCAGGGTTTGAGTCTGAAAACTGAGGATTCACTTACCAAAAAAAAGAAAAAAAGAAAAGAAAATACATAAAATTCAGATTCGGTTCTAAAGATGAAATGCTTCCTTGTCTCTCAGATTAAACATCAGCATAGTTCACCTTTTACTCCTTTTACCTTGTTCCCAAAATACACACCAAAAGAAAAAAAAAAAAAAAAAAAAAAAAGAGAAAATGTATTTCCTACAGAGCAGATTTCTTTCACTCGAACCACCTGAATGGTTTCCCCTGATCAACAGCTGATCCAACAAATTATCTTCTGCTTGGAATCTAGAATACAACAACTGCGTCAAACGGCATCTTGTTTTTTTTTGTTTGTTTTTTGTTTTTTTTATATCCACGCCACTGTATTTGAGTTTCAGCGTTACAGCTTTTATAGGTTTCCTCAAGCTCCCAGGTGTAATGCAGGTATGTTTTTAATTTGTCTGGAAAAGAATCAAATGTCTCTTGTGAAGTCAGTAGGACTGCAACATTCCTTCAACTCGGCAGGAGCCGCGGGGAGCGCCGGGAACGGGAGAGGGAGGAGCGCAAAGGAAGGAGGTACATGATGGCAGGATGGGAGGGGGGGTAGTGAGGAAGAAAGGGGGCTGATGTGTAGTTGCTTCCATTAAAACTTGACAGTGACCATAATGTTTCAAGTCGTCTCCATCCTTTTCCTTCACTTGTGCCTCTGGAGAGCTTTCCTCTTTCTCCTTTTGAAGAAACAACAGCACCTGCAGGGAAACGACCCATCAGAGGTTAATTCTTTACAAGCTGAATTTCAGGGCTGAGAAACTCTGAACCTTAAAGCTACATCACTAACTGAACTACAATGATTTTTAAAGGGAGATAATCAAATATAGTGACAGGCATACCTGCTACCAAAATACTGATTAGTCTACAGAGATTCACTTTAGCTGCACAGATTAAACTGAACTGAAACCTATGAGCAAACTGCCTACGAGAGGTCAGGAAGTATTTGAAATCATTTGTTAGCATACTTGGTTTCATCAATCACGTCAACCTCAGTGGGAGCAGTGATGGGAGCGTTGGAGTGTCCGGCTGTGGGATCATCCGTGTTCAACTCGCCATTTGTCGAGCTCATCACCTGAACCATTACAACCAAACAAACAAAAACAAAACAACAGAGGACATCATATTGCTGAAATATAGATGACTAATAGGCCAAGTTAACAATAGACACCTCAAACTATGTATACTTTCAAATAAGGACAACCTATCCTGGACTTAAATGCTAAAACAACACAGAAGTTGGATCATATTCCTCCCCTTAACTCTCTAAAAATAAAGTTCTCTACAGCAACAGCAGCTCTTTCTTTTGTTTTCAACAGATCAGTGCTTTACAAAGAAATGGTTGTTGTTTATAACTAGATTTAAAACAAACCAAAGTGGTTTTAGGTGTCAGAGACTTTTTACAGTCACCCGACTCTGAAGAGCCAAGGAGCTACTTGCCTGGAATGAAAAGGAGGAGAACAAGATAAACCTGTTTGGACTACAGACACTGATAGAGGTTTGGTCTTTAAAATCTGCAGTTCTACTAACAAACACCAGGTGGCGCATTTGTCCCACATTAATATTTGTGGGAGAAAACGTATAACAATCTGTAGGTAGAATGAGGATAAATACTTCAGTTGTTTTGTCACTTTCTAGAAAAACTACTTATCTGCTAAGAGTTCAAGTTTTAGATTTTTTTTTTAAAGCAATTTCATCAGGTGCATCTCAATAAATCCCTAAAAATGTATTACAGTAACTGAATTAAAAAAAGAGGAACTCATTACTAATTTTATCATCAATTTCTGATCATTGAATTATTTTGGCTATCAGCTAAGACCAACTCTGTTAGGAAAATTCTTATATTGAATATTAGTTTACAAAAAAAAAAAACAGATCTGTAAATTCTGATCAGTAATGTCACTCCTGTAAAGTATGTTCACCTATTGCACAGCGTATGCATTCAGTGACTCTTGATAAGGACACTTTGGTAGCTTTAACAGTAACATAAGGGAAGGTAACTTTACTATTACAAATAGGTACATTTCTTTTTGATAAGAAGTTTTTTTAGAAGACGTTTCACCTTTTCTAAAGACGTGTTTTAAAAAAACTTAATGCCCTGTTGTGTAAACTGAACTTTTTCAAGCTTAACCATGACCTGGATGAGTGAGAAACTTCAGATATTTTTTATAAGAAAATAATTTTGATTTTATTTTATTTCTAAATTGAAAGCTTTGGCTTTGGATGACAGATAAATGGTAGGAACTGTTTATTTGTGAGTCAGGAGTTGACAATAGGAATACCACAGCTGTGCTGGGAATCCCCCTAAAAGTGTTACATGTTTTGGCTTCCCTATATTTTTAAGGCTCCAGTTATGCCTATGCGTTTCCTTTTCCTTCCACTAAACTTTCTATAAATAACCCTGGATGCAACCCTCTGAATAGATAGCTAGCAATGACTTCAAAGAGGATGGGGTGATGGAATCTTTTTAGTAAACTGAATTATGGCATTTTTATTGCTCATAATCATCAAGATTAAAACCAAGTAAATCCCTAATGTGTGCAAAGCATTAACATGAGTTCTCCTTTTAATCCAAATTACTTAAATGTTCTTTTCAATGTCATTCTGGTCAAATGAGATGCACCCGCCGATCATGAGGTTGAGATATCACATTTGCATGGCTTTTGCTGAAAGCTGCCTAGAAGCAGGAGAGCTTTTATTCAGCAATGAGAGCAACATGCACAGCAGCACGCCGGGTTCAGAGTCTGACTACCAAAACACAAGCAACAAAGAAAGCATCTACCATGCAAGCAATGTGGGTTTGGTGAGAAGCGGGGAAGTCTGTCACAAAATTACATGCATTCATGCATTAGCTATCAGAGCAGCAGCAGTAGTGGTACCTGAACAGAGCCCCCCAGCCGCTCAGCTGTGAGGTGCGACCCAATAGTCTCCTTATTGGTCACCGGGGTGGGCTGAGACTCACTTCCTTTGGGCTCAGGTGACTTGATACAAAGCAGAACGTGTCGAGGCAGGTGGGCAGGAAGTAGTGAGAATAAAGGAGGGGGAAGGGGAGAGAGGGTTGCAGGTGAGGTGAGGGGTCAAGGGTGAGGTGATGTGTTGTATTGGAAGGGAGTGAGGGAGCAACACGGAGGAAGGGGGAGTAAATGAATAAAAAAAAAAAGAAAAACAAAAATCAAATTAAAGAAGACATCTCCCAAGCAGAAGCAGGCTTGTTAAGACAAACTATGTTAATAGAGGAGTAAAGGAAGAAAACATTTATTTTGAAGCAAACAAATCAGCTCATGCAGACATAAAAAAACAGCCTTGATTATCTGGTCTCACTTGATTTTCTATAAAAAAAGACGTTAATCAATCTTTGCTGATTTTATAATGATTTGCGCTTCAGCCAGAAACTTAAGATTTTACTTCGTCTGAATTTTTCCCCAAGTCCTGCTCTGATTTACAACGGAGTTTCCTTCATCTAGGATGTAACAGCTTTTCTGAGTCATGACCAATGTGCACAGCACAATAGGAGGTGCTTCACCGGCATTAAAAGATGGCACGTTGTTTCCAAGCCAATCACATTAAATCCAGAGCAGTAAAAAACCAAGGGGTGGAGCGGGGAAGCTGGAGTCCACTGTAATAAGTCAGTCATATAATCTGATGCACTCCTCAATAGCGTTGCAGTAAACGATGAGTCAGACTCAACAAGCACAACAACCTTATCTGTACCATTATTTATGACAATCAGCCATCGTTTAAGGATGTTTTCTGCATAATAAATCTATCAAATTATTCCTCGCCTACACATAAAAACAGGCTCAGATTGCATGCTAACATAAAACACTACACTTTGTCACACACTAAGCATGTAATTAGTCATCACTGATATGAACAATGCGGTTTGCATTTTCAACTCATGCAGGCAATGACTGCTGCTTAGAGTGGCAAGATGTGGAGACTCGCAGTGCCTTGAACAACGTATCCATAATCTGAACTCATTCACATTTTGTCCCGTTACAACCACAAACCCCTGCGTATTCTATTACGCTTTTATGTCACAGACCAACACAGAGGAAGCTTCAGAGGCAAGTTTTCTTCAGTGAGACAATTTATAGCTCTGCGCTCCAGAAAACTGGCCTGTGGGAAAGTATGATCACAAAAACTCCACAAAGGAAAAATACATTTCAAATCCCATTTGCTTGGCAAGCTTTTGGCATGTGGACAATGGTTATCTAAGACCTAACCTGATTTTGTCATCTGTAAGCAAAGCCCTAAATAGCAGGATTAGAAAAAATAAAGCGGTGTCAACATAATCCTGAACACACCATTCCCATGGTGTAACATGGTGGTGATAGTATAATACTGTGGGACGGATTTTCCTTAGCAGAAAGTGGGAAGGTGGTCAAAGCTGATAGCAAATTAACCTCAACAAAATATAGTTTAATGCTAAAGAAACACAATAAAAACTGTAAACTGGAGTTCAGGTTTGCCTATAAGCAGAAAATAAAGATGCATGGTTTATATCTGGGTTTAGACAACTTTTAGATGTGACACACCTGAATCCAGTTGCTAAATGACCTCATCATCCAGTCAGGCTCTACAAACTCCTCTTAATGACCCAGTTATTTGATTCATGAGGAATGAAGCACTGACTTTAAAATCTCAGATTGAAATCAAAGCACCTTAGTCAAAGTCTAGACCTACATCCAATGAAGAATCTGTTGAGTACTGCTGTACACAGACGCCATCAGTCCCTTCTGAATTATCTAAAGCTGTATAAGATGAGTAGAGGCAAACCCCAAAAACTTGCAGCTGTACATCCAGGTGAATGGAGGTTCTAAAAGTTATTGACCCAGAGGAGCAAATTCATTGCCTCTTACATCATTTTTATTCCAATGAACAATTATGTGCTACTAGGCGTCTACCACATAAAACTGCAGTTGTAACGAGACAAAGGTGAAAAGATTCAAGAGGTATAAATAGCTTTTCAAGGCACTGTATGGGAAGCCATAAATTATGCTTTGTTGCCCCTCATGATGGCGCATATCTGCAATTTTTCCACTTCAGCATTATGTTATCTTAAATTTTATAGGTAGCTGTCTGATAAGGACTTAGGAAAAAAATGAGCGTGAACAAGAACCAGCCTTGTTCTCCAGGAAGCTGCTTGTATGATAAACCTACAAATGTGGTCAGGCATGGAATGAAGATCATTTAGGTAAGTGGGCTGGGTTTGCGGATGAAAGGTGGTGATCTCACCTGGTTTTTGGTCTGCTGTTGTGCTTTGTCTCTGTTGCTGGCCTGCTGGGGCGTGTCACTGGGGATAGGGCCTATCGGGGTGGGCTGTATAAAACAGAACAAGAAAATTAGCCTTAAAACTGACTTTATTTTGTCTTAATGTCTGTGAGAAAAAGATGTGACGGTAAGAGGCGCTCACGAGAGATTTGCCGACCCAGTCGTACTCATAATCAAAGACGTAGCCGTTCCTGTCAAACAGATCAGTGAAGAGCTTCCTTAAGTAATCATAATCTGGCTTCTCAAAGAAGTCCAGCCTCCTCACATAGCGCAGGTAGGTGGCCATCTCTTCTGTTACAAAAGAAAAAAAAATAAATAAATAAAAAGGCAGTGAGAACAAACCCCCAAAGAATGGAGATACAGGAACAAAGAAAATGGTTGCTTCTACTGACCAGGAAAGCTCTCACAAAGCACTTCAATAGGGGTTGCTCGTTTGGTGTCTCCGATCTTCTGATATCTTTCTTTCAAAGTGTCAGCCTTCAAGGAAAACAGGTTATTATATATTATTTATTCTTTTTAAAACATGTGGCATATGTTGTTTTAAACTGAAAAGATGATCAAATCTTTTAAATATTAGGTTCGGCTGATGAAAATTCCTCTGGCTTTTTCCTGTGATATTTATAGTACTTAAGCCTTGTTTGTATAAATCCGACACGACCCTCAGGATTTTAAAATTATTCCTCAATACGTCACTGAAACACTTCTGCTTCAAGCAGCAGCAGTAATGGTTTAGTACACAAAGCTATAAATAAGTACTTACCGCATTTTTTTTTT